GCGATCTTCTGCGTTAGCCGGTAGGAGAGGGTTCCTTGTTTCCTCTGTAGCCAATCCTCCATAACGGGCTTATAACCGCTATAATGGTGTGCCCAGCGCTTGGTTGCCCAAGTCTTTCCCTCCACTCCTCCTGGTAGAGTTAGGATTTCTGGTAGACGATTTCTTGAGTCTAACGATCCCAAAACAGTACGAGCCCAAGATACCTCATCGAAGGCTCGATGTCATGCGAGTGCCTCCTACTACGAGACTGGATCTCTCAGGTGGCCCCCTCCGAGGCTCATAAAAGAACAAGGCCTCAGATTTATACAGAGACACCTCGAGTATCCGGATCTGCATGGTACGCCTTACTGCACGGCGACATCATCCAAGAAGGCACTAGGGAGTGCCCAGTTGTATCTGATGTTCCACAGGAGCGGCCCTAAGACCAACTCCTGCGGAATACCGCACGACATTTCATGCCGACCGAGACTCGTCCTACTTGGGTAAATGATATTTATTTCTGTAAGTAAATCTTTTCAGATATTTTTACAAGTCGGACCGCTCCTAGCATCTGCCCTTTAAGAGCGCGGCCACCACTTTCGGGGATAAACTCTCATTTAGAAGACGTCCGCCACACGAGGACGGCTGGAGGACGGAGGAGCGTGTATCGGCTGGTAGCCAGAAATCCCCTCTGATGAATGCAATGACAGCCCGACGCTACGTTGACCGTAGCACACACCGGTCAACCGAGTTCAAACTGCACTGCAGTGGTGACGGGCGCAACTCAATTCACTCCTAGCGATCGAGTGCTGGTACAGACGTGCCCAGAAAAGATCTGGGTCAGTCGGAAGAAAAGGGTCCCGTGCTGCCACCCTACGCACTAGACGATGGCCGGTTGGACTGCCTCCACGGCGTCATCCAGTGCGTGGAGCCTCCAGCTGGAACGACTAACAAGTCATCGTGACACGGCAAGCGGCATTTAGTTCTCATATCCGCCTCTAAATTCCATTCTAGGACTCAGAGCGCGTTTTATTCTGGGCGATAAGAGCTTCCGTCCACACTGTTGCACCATGTAGTGCCGTTGACTAGACAACCCTGGTCTATTACCACACCTTATAGAGTACCTAATCTGCACTACAGCTACACTTGCAGCAACTGTATTTTTATGTACGCACTATACTCAATCTTCGTAGGTATCAGAAAATGAAAGCAAAAAAAGTAGTGGTAATTACGTAATATAAACCCTTTTTTTTTCGTGTGGAAATCCCCTTGGGCCGTCACCGTCACTAAAACCACACGGTATGCCACTCTGCGCCTGTAATAGGAGGGATCCGGGAACTGCTGTTAGTAAGACATCCGGACCCCTCCTAGCGTCTGCCCGCAACGGCGCGGGCACCACCTTCGCGTACATTCTCTATTTAGGTGACGTCCGGCAAACGAGAACGTCGCCCCCTCTCGGCTGGCCGTTATGGCGGGTGGAGGGGAAAACCCGTCCCGTCCACCCACGACCACACTCAGGGCGGCATGATACGGTGGTAAACGTGCCTGCGCCGCCCGGTTCCCCCCTTAACGAATTGTCCTCCCAGGCCCGCTCCGCCGCCTCCTTCTGCGAGATGACGTCTTCGCAGAAGGATGTGACCGCGTTGAAACATCTGAACTACCGGCCATGAAGCGTATGACGGCCGGTAGCGAGAGATCTCCTCCGATGACTGCAATGAGGACCCGGCGGGCAAATTGAAAGCGTGTGTTGAGCCGAGTCCTCACTGCAATCGCAGTGGTGACAGGCGGGTCTTAATTCCCTCCGAGTGCAGGTACTTCCCGAAGCAGCCGTGCCCTAAAAGAACCTGCGTCAGCCGGAAGGAAAGGGTCCCGTGCTGCCGCCCTGCCCACTCGACGATGTCCAGCTGGAGCGTCTCCAAGGCGGCAAAGCCAGCACGTGGAGCCTCCAACCGGGATGAACAACGAGCCATCGTGGCTCGGCGAGCGGCTTCACGCCACTCGCGTATCTCTTCGGGCGGGGGCCGAAAGCCGCTTTCCGCCCGGAACTCAGCCGCCCGCGGTAACCGCGATCTCTCTAACCGCCAATATCCTCTGAGGGCGCCAAAGGCGTACCCTATTCTGGGCGGCCAGAGCCACCGCCCACACTGGTGCACCGTACAATACTATGTAAACTACCTCTGACTGACAACTATAATATTAACTATTAATACGTAGTTATAGCCATAATTATATTTTATTAAATTTATGAATTACATATGCACACATAGAAATGGGCTTATTCAAAAATATCTATAAAAGTGTTATCGATCACAAAGGTGCCAAAGGTGTTGATATCCACTCTATTTTGTTCAGTCGTAAGTAAAAAATATTCATCTCTTTATTTTAACCTTAATAATTTATTTTAGTTATTATAACTCATTGTAAGATACTCATTGTTTTCACAAGAAAGGCAAGGCTGTGTGCTATCAGCCACACTGTTTCTTCTGAATATCAATGATATGTTGAAAACTAGTAGCACCAGTCGCTCCAATATTTCTCGGGAAAACGTCATCAAGAGTCGAAACAAACTTGTGTCTGAAATTGAAACTTTTTTAGCGGAGGTTTTCGATTGGGGCCGAATAAATCTTGTCCACTTTAATCCAAAAAAGGCAAAGCAAAAGAGAAAAGAAGAAAGTTTGTGCGTTCACCGCTAAGAAGATACCATTTGTCGTATCACCTTAGTTTGAGAGCACCTCCTTAACTGCGTCAACTAGTATCGGAATCCTAGGCATCGAGATATCGAGCAAAGTCCAGTTTCGCGGTCATTTAGAGGGTAAGGTGTAATTGGCCTCGAAGAAGCTTGGTGTGCTGAACAAATCGAGGCAGTATTTCACTCCAACCCATCGCCTCCAACTCTAAAAGGCGCAAGTCTGACCGCATATGGAATACTGTTCTCATCTCTATGCAGGGGCACTACAGTACCAGCTTCTCCCTCTGGACTGTTTCCAAAGAAGAGCGACTCGAATCGTCGATAGCCAAAAGATTGGCGACCGGCTCGATCCCTTGCCGTTACGTAGAGATGTAGCTTCGCTCCACATTCTCTATCGTATAAATCATGAAGGGTGCTCCGAGAAATTTTCATCCCCACCACTTGGATAATTGGCGCTCCACCAGTGTGCGCTTTTCAAGACACTTTTTGCCTCGCACTACCAATCTGTGGAACAAGTTTGTGTGCGTTTTTGCGATACGACCTTCAAACCTTCAAGAAAGCGTACCCCTTTCTCAGAGCCTGGCAACGCGCTTGGGACTCCTGAGTTGCAAGCGTTCATGGGCGGCGGTAGTCGCTTTCCATCATCCGTCTGCTCGTTTGCCCCTTATTCCATAAAAAAAGATATAAATGATGATGTGATGACGATAAAATAACAAACGTTGAAATCTTCTTTTGAAAAAGTGAAACTGACCGTCATTAGAATAATTTGTTTAATAAATTAATGACCACATCCCGTAAAACAATAATTATTGAGTAGTCAGCGATTCATGCCGGTGGCCATTTAATTTTGAGGTCTACATCATATTGATCAGTTTCAATTTAATCAATGGTATTTTTGAAAACCCAATGCACGAGTTATAATAAAATATACCAAAACGCTTCAGCTGATTGATTTGAAGAGTTAACAAGATTTCTCTAGAATCTAATAATTATAATCTGACCAGATTTCAATTGAACCAACTAAAAAACCTTTCAAACTTAAATATTTTCCTAAATCGGTCCAGCCGTCTTAACTGATCAGATAACACACCTACTTAAAGAATAGAGGTTTGGACGAATCAAACCTCCATTTTGGAAGTCGGATAAATAACTTATTAGCTTTTATTAGGTAGAACTCTTTCTTATCGATGAAACATGAAAGAATTTCCAGTGACTTATTTATTATATAAGAAAAAAATTGTTTACTTTAAGTAATTTAAGAAGCAATAAAATATTTATTATGATGAGGATTCATCAAACAACATTCAATATTAAACAATATATGTATATAGAGGTATATACTTATGTAGTAGATAAATATTCAATAACTATTCGATGGTTTTATTTGGCATCGACTTTTGATAAAACAATTTACTCAATTTAGGAAGAAACGGTTCCACCGTATATTGCCGGTACATAAAACGGTAATGGTTTTTTATTGTTATTATTTTATGAAGATAGGTTATAATTAGAGCACGCAGCTATGACTCTCATATGACAGGAATTTTCCACACTCATCATTGTATTTTAATATTGACATTATAAATTGTAAATACCTATTATAACGCTACTCTATATACATATATTATAAGACATAAATACCTATCTAGTATCTATATATCTATATAGATAGTATTAATGTAAATTTTCGTCTCAATACTCTCAATCCATTCGCTACTTACTTCAGAAACAACAAACATTCACATCAGCCTCATCCATCATCCTGATAAAGGCATGTGTGAGAATATAATTATGCACTTAAACACATTTTGGTCTTCATAGTGTTTATGTCCCTTTTGTCTTCTCTTTGCAGTGCTGTTGTCCTGTGTAGCTTTCTCCCTTAGTCGACTCTTACGACACCCACGGGATGAATGGGGTGGTGACATTCCGTATTCTTAATCTGTCACAACACGAATAATTCAGACACAAACAAAATCATCAGAATATTAATATTATCTTTAGTCTAGTCTCCAGAGGAAAAATTACCTTTGCTAAATATATTTTCCGAATCTAAATATATCCTTACATTTTCCAGCGATTATGCACAATTAAATGTACCTATACAGTTCAATTCTGTGCGATAGCAAGTTCATCAACATTTAGCACAAACAACTAGCATTACATCATACCGAACCGAGAAATGTCTACGAACGAAATTCGACAAACAACCTTCATTGGGGGCACGGCTCGATCCAACCAGTAGCGGTTGTCGGCAGTCACGGCAGTTTGTCGGCGTCAGCTGCCAGTGCAAGACGCTTGGATTTATTCGTGTAATTTAACAAAATAAGCCAAAATGTCTCAGCAAGGCCTGGCATTTGATGTCAATGCCATGACATTAACTCGGTGGGTCCTGGCACGGCAACGTACGGCACCATCTGCCACTGGAGATTTGACTCAACTATTGAATTCGATCCAGACAGCTGTCAAGGCTATACAATCGGCTGTACGGAAAGCCGGCATCGCTAAATTGTTAGTATACCTACTTATCATTGTTATTATATTGATGTACCTATGTACATTGCGCCTGATAATACATAACTGTCTTAAAACAAACTTATTTGCATTAAAGTTTGACAAATACAGAGTGACAAGATACATAATTTTAATTAAGTCGGTGTATAAAAGTTATTTTATTTATTAAATTCATGTCTTCTTGTTTTTTAGTTACACATCGTACAATTAAAATTTAAAGACCTCGAACGCGATCATTCACAATTGATGACAATAAAATGTCAAACACACCCCCACCGAGAACAAGAAAAACCAGTTCTATAAAAGAAACTGGCTGCCCCTTTCTAATTTGAGTTTTATTTCTAGACATGGCATCTCTGGTGACACAAACGTGCAGGGCGAACAAGTAAAAAAATTGGATGTTCTGTCCAATGATCTTTTCATCAACATGCTCAAGTCTTCCTTCACAGCAGGCCTGCTTGTTTCGGAGGAGAATCCGACAGTTATAGAGGTGATACGATAGACCTTGTAATACAAGACTTTGCTTCCGGCATTGTATTGAGGCAGTCAGTTTATTTCCGCTAAAGTAATAATAGTAGGTAAATAGGTGTAGGTATGTATACCTATTACTGAAATAAAAATATATGCTATATTTTTTCTGGTATACTTGAACATTCTAATTTTAAAAGAATGATTAAAATTAGTATTAAACAAACGATATAATAATAGGTGATGCTAATAAAAAATTATTGATTCATTGATGTAGAAAAACACACGTTAATGATCATAGTTTTTTTAAGGTTTTTAAAAAGAACCACATCTCATGTGTGCCCACCTATAATATTCTTCTATATATTCATTTTAGTAATTCATTAGGATATTTTTAATTGATCTCAAAAGCGCAGGTTCTCAAAGATAACTAAATCGAATGTGGCACAGAACCTACGAGTATAAAAACGAGGGAATCTGAAGTCTAAAAAACAGTATAGGAAAGCAATTTAGGTGTTTTGGATAAAGTTAAACTAATGATATAATCTAGTGGAAGTACTGCATACGATCGGATCGCGATTAGATTACTTTGATATGATTGCTAAGCAATTTATGCTTGTAAATTGGTATGTGACTATGCACGTAATTACCAAAAGAACATGTCAACAATTTGGGGGTAACCCTGCTTCGGGAATGCAATATTTTGCAAATGGTACAGATCGGTTAAAATTATTTTAAAGTAAACTAGTTACATTCCTCCCGTAAGAGTGAAAAGTCAAGGGATAAAAAATACTAATAATGAAGCTTGATTTAAGTTTATTGAATCCAGTTTTACCTTTTTATAAACTATTTTTACGCGTTTATCTACTTCGGAGACCATACCAAACACTCTCCTTGATGGTTATGTTGACAGGCTAAATCTGGTCAGGTTTTCTGTCAAGGATATTGAGAGTCCAGGTTAAACCTGAGATGAAACTCCCAGTAACAACAGACTTGAGAAACATGAAATAGATACTCTTGCAATAGTAAGTGGTAGCCGTTCAATTTAGAAAGTCGCTCGTGGAATACTTCTTAGTACCGTCTCGTGTCTGTAATTTACTTTTGTTCAGGCGCCGATTTACCTTCAGGCCGCTAATATAAAGATTCACGCAACCGTAAACACATTACGGTTAGTGCTTTAGTTATTACAATATGCAGCGGGAAATTTACCTATTTAACAAAATACCGAACAAAAATGTTGAAAGTACTTATTAATAATATGAAGATTATTATGAAAATTAAAAAAAAATGTTAAAAATAAATCAAATAAACAATTGAACATCTAATCATCCGTAGAACATTTGTAACATGTTGATGATATTTAAATTACCTACATGTTCGTATAGTACGTGACTTCAATTCTAGATGACTTAGATAACTTTAATTTAATTTAAAAGAAAGCTTAGTTACAAACTTATTACAAAAGTGTTTATAACAAGTATGTACCTAAAACAATTGAATAACAACATTAATAATGACGTAAAGAAGTATAAATTGTTGTTAAAAATCTGTGCAGTCATGCATCTTTCAAAGCAAAACGAGGAAAAAGAAAACAAAAACAACAAAATATTATTTTCATTGTTGAGAATGACGCTCTAGTGCAAAATAAATCAACTTTCAAATGTGAAATTAGACAATTAGAAGTCACAACACTGCAATTGCAAAATACTTATATAATAATTATTCAGACTCAAGCATTAATTCTAGTTTTAACTGTTACTATTTGATATGTTATTGACCGCTATTAAGACCATACGTCCACACCTAATGCATTCGTGTAAATATGGGTTCCGTTGAAGTTTCTTAAATTATTCTGCCCAATACTTCTGAAAACAGATAAAGTTGGAAAGCAAATAACCGTTGCCAGTACATGTGAACAGTATTATTTTGTCGGCACTGTGCTAGTGTCACACATCGCGCCCCTGAATCAACAATCAAAATTCATTGACCCAATTGCTAATGGTTAACGAATCTGAATTGAGCAGCAGCATGCTTGTTGTAGTTAAATCTTTTGATCAGCTAAAAGTATTTTTTACGATACTTCTGATTTAATTTGGGTAATCGAAATCACTAATAAAGTCAACTTTTATAAAAGGCCAGGTTACACTTTTAATCGATCTTCGTCACAATACTTTACACTGTATGTATACATAATTATAATATCGTGAAATTGATTAATTATATAGTTTTTCCTTAATCTAGTTATTATTAAATCGAATTGCCTTAATGTAGCAGAGCTGGGACACAACACATAATCCATCAAACTGAGATTGTAAGATAAATGGGAATTTCTATTCTCTAGCTATTTTCTATTTTTTTATAAATGAGGATGCATTTATACCTTGAAAATATGCTTAACATATGGCCCTATATTTTACAAAAAAAAGGTATGGGAGACAAAATTTAATTTGTACCATTTATTTGTATACTGCGAGCAATGTAACTTCTAGAATACATAAATCGTTTCTCTACGTGCAGCTATGTACCAGTTATTTTAAATATTGTTATGCACTAGATAAGATACCGTTTTTTCTTCAAATTAGAATAAAATATTCATAAAGACGTCGCTCCACTAGACGAAACGACGCCCTGGTAAAATGACACACAGCTTAGACTAGTTCCGCATTCGACGTCCTAAATTATTATATCGAGATAATGACGTTGATAAGCAATATTTTCAAAATGATTACGTCATTTCTACCATAGAACACTATTCCTAAAACCATGATAGATTATAGTTTATTAAGTTTTCGTGTTTGATTAAAACTATGATAAGATTAAAGCTGCAATTATCTTTGTGATTTTTAAACTGGTATCGCATACGTTTTAGTAGCTATTAACGAATTCGAATCAGATCAATGAGCATTGTAGCATATCTATTACCGGCTACAGCTTATGCTCAATCTCGACTATAGCTGCATTAATTGCCTACTAATTAATCTTCTTATCTACATCATTAAAGATAACTTTTTATGTGCCTCACACGATATACTCGTGTGCGTGTGCGTGAGCACTCGAATCCAATCTTGATTTTGTAAACAAATTGTAAATCGAGCAATTTAAGAAAAATACGTACAAAAAATAAATGTGAACTGAACTGTAAGTCTAAAACTAAGGTGTGCATTTTATCTATGTAATTGTTTGTTGAAATTAATATATATTTTATCGTTATTGTATTAAATATTATTAATTTACAGGTGGAATCAGAAAAGCGAGGCAAATACATAGTATGCTTCGACCCCCTCGACGGTTCTTCCAACATCGACTGTCTGGTCTCTGTCGGATCCATATTTTCCATTTACAGGTTTGCAAACTTTTTAATGTAGTCGAATTTAATAAAGATATTATATATTATTATTATATAGATTTAAGAAAAAATAACATTAATCTAACATTTCCTTGAATAAAAAAGTGTGTGTGCAATTCACACACGGCAGAAGTGAAAAACCCGAAAAAAAAGTCTATACAAATAAATTGAACAAAAATTGAAGTGTCTGTTTGTAATGTCAAAATAATAGGTTTTTTTACTCACACGGTTATTTGCACGATACCTATGCCTAAATTCACGCAGAAGAAGCATGCAAAGTGTGACTCAACGTATTTAAATAATATATTTTAAAAGTTAATCAAATAGTAAATACTTATTCGCCACAATGTCTTATCAATTCAGGAAAAAATCTGATGGCGAGCCGACGGAAGCCGACGCTCTCCAACCAGGCAACGAACTGGTGGCAGCAGGATATGCTCTGTATGGCTCAGCAACGATGATGGTGCTGGCTCTGGGTAAAGGCAAAGGCGTACACGGCTTCATGTACGACCCTTCGCTCGGAGAGTTCATTCTCACCGATCCTAACATGAGAATCCCCGAAAAGGGAAACATCTATTCTATAAATGAAGGTAACTTAATTGGCTGAACAGTATCAATAATTTATATTACATATTATGATTCTAAAAAAACTATTACACGTTTAAATGAAGCACCTAAATCTATGCATTTGTGCAGTATTAATTTTCTATAACTACGGTTTTTAGTAAATCGAAGTATTATTTAGACAATTTTACTAATTAAATGATTTAAAAAACAAATATTCTTGTTTATATCTAGATCGTAGGAATAAGGAACGGATGTTCCCACTTACTCGTATGAATGAGGTTACTCAGAATGCATGCTTGTCTATAGAAAGATAATATTTTCACTACTTGTTAGTTTTTGATAAGATTTCCGTTCCGTATGATTTAAACTTTTAAATACCTCATTTGGTATCTTAACATTTTTTTCCTTTATTTTCCAGGCTACACAGCAGAATGGTCTGACGGACTCCGACAATACATCGAGGATAAGAAGCGGCCGAAGACTGGCAAAGCATACGGAGCTCGATACGTTGGATCTATGGTCGCAGACGTGCACAGGACAATCAAATATGGTGGCATCTTTATTTACCCCGCCACGAAGTCATCGCCTAATGGAAAAGTAAGTTTGTGCCAAAAATAATCAATTTAACATCATCTAGGGAAGATGAGTTGAACTTAATAGTGAGCCTGTATCGCCAATAACAGTTCTTGTGCTGATCACTATAAACGTATGTTATCGGTTATCAGCAAAAATCTGGTTAGGCCATGGTTAGATCAGCTAGCCTCTCGTAGGGAGGACTCCCTTTTTCGGAGAGAGGGATAACATCTGATCCTTAACAAGACTTGTGGTAAAGTTAAAAAACCGACAGTGTGTGGTCCACTTTAGGATAAGGTTTAAAAGATCTTGTTTAGCGCGTTGGATGGACGACCCCCATCATCATGAATTAGATGACAATGATTGACGCTTATCATCAAATCCGTCTTGAAAACCATCTAATCTGTCCAAGAAACAAAGCTCTGAGCTTTGATTTCTAACTTACCTAATAAAGCAATAAAAGTGGAGGTGGTGGCGATAACGACAAAACGCGCTACACAATATTGACCCTTATCAACAGGTTATCGCTGGGGGCACGGCTTTGAAAATGATAAACAATTACGACACCCATATATTAAAGTAATACTGACGCTGTCTGATAGACGCGGGCTAGTCGAAATATTTGTACAAAGATGGGATTATTTTCTACAGCTTGTGTAACCGGGTATACCAATAGACGCTCCGTTTTATACATGAGAACACGACAAACACATTACTTTCTTTTTATTTTTCTAAGCTTACAAAAATGTACTTTGATGGTTTCATTATGTCTATTTAAAAAATAGTTTTTGGTACATAAGTCTGCTGTATCAATCAAATTGCCAAGTAAAGTAAAATATTCGATCGAAACTGTACACTATAAAACAGAAAAAAAACATGGCAACACCATGCATATTATTGAACTTACCATGTACCTATAAGTTTCATGCTAGAAGTGGGAACTCAATTTCTCTGCGTCAATGTCTTATGTGTGCCGCATACATAGTAATAGGCTTGCTATATTAGCTAACATAATTAAGTGAAAATTAGACTTCTACGGGCAATTTAACAGACATTATTTTACATTATTATTGGGTTATCGTCTGCGGTATTTCCGGACCGATACGACCTTCAATCCTTAAAGAAAATAGCGTACTCTTTAATAAAAGGCCGGCAACGCGTTTAAGACTCCTGAATTGCAGACGTTCATGGGCGGCCATGGTCACTTTCCATCAGGTGACCCGTCTGCTCCCTCAAACATAAAAAAACAAACTGTCATATTGCATTATAAACCAAATTGTCTTTGTTTTAGCTACGTCTGCTATACGAATGCAACCCAATGTCGTTCATCGTGACGGAGGCGGGTGGTCTGGCCAGCAACGGCAATATCCCCATACTAGACATCGTTCCTACATCTATACACCAACGCGCTCCCTGCTACCTGGGGTCCAAGAAAGACGTTGAAGAACTACTCTCATACTTGAAGTGATTAAAGAGATATACGAATTGAATATATGTATTTTGAAGTTCTCAATTTTTGTTATACTATTAATATATAATTAAGACTGATGTGTGTTTTGATTTAACGTTAAGGTTACGTTAACAAAATCTTGGAAAATAATTTAAAATTGTAAGTAAACTCTTTGATCTGAATAAAAAAAATCTGAAAGTACCTGTACGCGGCATCAAAAGTACTGATACAGAGCTCCAGTTTTGTATCAGTACTTTTGATGCCATTCTGGCGTACAGATACTACTTTACTGCTAAACTTTAATTGTTAAATTAAAATTAATCTGAGCGCTGTGATAAATAAGTATAACTAGTACACTGGCTATAGAAGAGGGAAGAATAATTAAAAAATACACTGAAACACCCAGACGAAAGCATACAGACAAATCCATGACTACAAACAGTTGCACTAAAAACGAATCGAACCCTGTAACGTTCTTATTTACAAATTATTTTAAGGAGTGGATGCTTCCACTGTGTTTGCAAGGTTATTGTAATAAAAGAGAAAGGTTTGTGTAACTTTTTTTATCATTTTAGAGGGGGCGAACGAGCAGACGGGTAATAAACGGGTAACTTAAATCAATTTATTTACATGAAATTGACACATCGTTATATATTTAGCTTACTTAGTATATATTTAAAAGAACATCTGTATTCTTATGGTGCTAAAACAGTTGATAAATCATGTGAATTACTAAATACCTTTTACTATTGAGTCGATTAAGACAAATAATAACTACAGGAGGTTACAGGACAAAGACGTGGACGAATACATCTTATGTTGGAACATTAAAAATTAAATAATGAGTTAAATACTAGCCCACTCTATAACCTATTCTAAAAAGATCTCTTAATTACATTTAGTTTTTTTTTGTATTCAGACTTAAACGCTACTCAATTTTAAGACGTCGTTAGCTTACACGCGGTAACCATCTCTTAGGGTAAATAACAGTCGTAGGCCTGGCAGTAAGAGGTGAGGTCACCTGCAGAAGAAGTATGACGCCGCCCTTTTGTACAATTGGAACATCGCGGTTCCCGCACACGAGGAGGTCATCTACAAGCCGTATATGGACCGGGGTCCGTCGGGCTACCAGGGATTTCCTTTCTATGGTACACCTGGTTCTCCAACTGATATTGGTACTGGTATCCGAGTCGGCGTGCGGTTTTTAGTCGGTTCGAGTCCGACATAACCAACCCACCGGTTGTTCGGTGGGTGGTATCTGAGGGGAGTCGCACAGAAAAGAAAGGGTAAATAACAGCAGCAAAATAAGAGCCAAATCACATCTTATTGTGTAGCGTTTCAGTTTTTACCAATAACCATATTAATCTTTAGAACATAATAATTTAATACATGTCTGTAAATTATTCTTCCCCATTACAGATTTAGTAATTATTAACTTTAAAAATTATAAAAAGAAATACCTAGCCTGTGCTACCAAACTCAGACGAAGAAAGTTTTAAATAATTATGGAAGTTGACGAGACAAGAGTAGATGAAAAAAGCAAAGATGGATGAACTAAGTACAAGAAGATATGGCTAGGAAAAGAGTAGAAGAATTATAGGGGAGAGGAGAAATCTGTAAAAAAAAAGAAGAAGCGTGCACAGTAATATTAAACTCACTTCTACGCTTAGTATTTGTCAAAACAAACAAGTACATCAGGGTGAAAATAGAATTATAATCTGATTGTCAAGCACTTGAAAAGTGAATGTTTACAAATACATCTAATCTCCTAATTCATTCAACTTTGATCTATTTTTAAAGATTACTTATCTCCTAGAATCTGACAGTTTAGTCATAGACTCATTAACTGGTGCCCAACTCACAGCTCAGTAATACGAAAAATACATTAAAACAAAAACCTAAATTTTTAAACATAGATGGATTCACCTATTTTTTGTCAATAAAACTTGGAAGAATAAATTCTCCTTTGTCTATTAACTTACAAAAACATTTCAACTTGTAAGAGATTTGCTGTGACAACTTGTGACACAGCAAATCTCTTATGAAACGAGAAACTCGACTCGACGAACGGTACTGAATACCAAAGTAAAGTTTTACTAGTTTGGTTATGTTATTATGTATTGGAAGGCGACTGCGGTGTGACAGTTTGGTCAAAATATGGTCTGACGAAGAACTTATAATGAGAAACTTAGCTCTCTTTTGATCGTTTCAAGTTCCTCTTTATTTATGCAACTTAGTTATGTGGGAAAATAAATATTATTAGTAGTAGTTAGTTACATGACTCGGTATAAGGATAAACACTTAAATTTGCTCGACTCTAGTGTCAACATCAACCATGTGTCATATATATAACTGTTCATCGCAATACTTGTTGAAGTTCGAAAGACGCTGACACATCTTTCATTTGGTTGGAGAGGTAGCTTAAGTCAGGTTCTTACAACCTAAGCTGTCAAGGCAATAAACTGGTGGAAGACGTCCAAAATATGAGGGTCCAAGTCTTGAGTGAAGAGAAGAGTTTCCAAAGTACTGCTGTACTTCTGTACTTGTTCGTGATGCTGAAAAAAAGAGTAATAATAATATGTCAGACATTTGACACACAACGCCATTTAGTTTCAAACTTAGCAGAGCTTGTACTGTGAAAACTAGATTGACTGATAGAATACTTATTTTTTGCAAATACATACTTATTATACACAGAAAACACTCAAACTCCAAACGAATATTTGCAGGTCATACAAACATTTGGTCCGACCCGGGAATCGAACCCGTGACCTCAGCACAGCAGTCGCATACGCTACCACTGCACCACCGAGGCAGTCAATATAATTGAAATTCGTGTTGTTGTATTTTTTATTCGTCGTGAACCGAATTGCACCGCTCTCGGTCACGGGTAGACAATATTATTGTACTGTGATGCGAACTGTAGTTAGGAGTGAAGGTCTTACAATGAGGAAGACTTGTCGCAGGCGGCCCACGGTGCTGCGGTACCAGTGCGTGTCGGGGTCGCGCGCGTCCGTGTCGCAGCGCACCAGGTGCTCCGACAGGATCATGATGAACCGCTGGAACACGATCAGGAACAGCCGCTTCTGGTCCATGTGCGCCGCTTCTAAGCGTTCCTCCATACGCTCTACAGCCTGCAAATTAAAACACAGAAGCATTGTGTTATACAGTATTTCACAGTTTCTATATATTAATAAATCTGTATGGTGGCATATAATATAATATGGTGTGAAACCACCCCTATTCATCCCGTGGGTGTCGTAAAAGCTGACTAACAAAGCAAACTACGCAGCGCAAAAGCACTGCAAAGAGAAAGTATACTTAACACAAACCCTATACCAACCCGTCTGGCCAGCGTGGATTAGTACGCCAAAACCTCCTTTCTAAGGAGAGGCCTATGTCCAGCAATGGACTATTAAAGGCTGTTGATGATGATGGTGACATATTACATGCACATCACAGTTAGTATCAATAATTTCGCTATTTAAATCAACGTCTCAATGATATTACCAGATTTATATATTTACTGCATAAACGACTAAAGGACTAACCTCCTCAGTAGGTTTGTCTTGGTCTTTCTTCTTTTTGCTGCTGTTCTCGTCTTCCGAGTCTGAACTGCTCGAATCGGCTCTAGCTAATGCTTCTCTTGCTTCTTGTAATTCGCCACCTGAAGATATAAAAACGTTTGTTGATGTACTTTTATATCAGAAATACTGAAGCTCTATTTAACAGAAATATCATCATTAAGAGAATTAATTAAATTTATATCAAATCTTTAGACGAAGAGCCGAGCAGTCGACGTTGAAAGAGTTGATATCTAAGTATTAACCATGGCCAGTGCATTCTGCAAATGCACTAGCTTTCAAAAATGGATCCACTTAAAGGTCCTGTGTTCACATTCAATAATGGGGTCCGCAAAATAAATGTTCCTCGTATTTTAATAAAACTTTCAAGAACTAATGTAAAATAATACTTACTCAATTTGGAGACATGTTTATTCATCTTGTCAATCGTTAGATGGAGCACTTCCCACAAGTAGCCGTGGGTGAAGAAAGGTGCCATTTCCTTGGAGAACAGCCAGGTGGCGACGGCGTTACACTCCACAATCTGAGTTTTGAGCATTTTGTCTACCAGCACGCAGACCATCTGAGGGTGCCGTTGCCACAGCTCCCACACGTTGCGCAGAATACATATCTGAGCTTCCTCAGATTCCGCAAGGATCTGGTATGGAAGTATGCGGCATAATAAATTATAAATAAAATATATTAAGCTAAACCTCTTATGTTAACTAACTGAGCTAACATACTGAGAACATTTGCTTAGTAAAATTCGTCCGATGTAAACATTAACTAGAAGGAAATGAAACCGAAGTAAAAAAAGTATACTATTTAATACACACAAAGATTGCTTAAAAAAGCTACGTTGACCTCAAAATGTAGACTAACTTTTATATGCGGAGTTTATATGTGGAGTCTATATATTTGGAGTCAAATAAGAATATCTAAAAGAAGACAAAATTCAGGATATTTTTAGTACTGTTAACAAAATATGTATCACTAATTACATAAAGTTCTTTATTACCTTGCGACACCAAGCCATAATTGATCAAAAGAAAGACTGTTTGAACAAAACAATGATAACACAAGCCAATGACAATAAAAGATTACATTGAATAAGAAAGTTTATACTCATGAGAAACATAATGACATGAAAATATGACAAATATTTTCGTACAAGTGGTTACTTCGTTTCCTTATTGTTTGATAAGATATTTTATATCGATGGCTCTTATGTGTAGGAGCCGACTGTCTTAGATTTATTTATTTATTTAGAGCATGGAAGACTTACTTACTTACAGTAACAATTGTTAAACCCGATACAAATTACAACAGTCCCCTGTAAGCCAATTTACAAGCCTTCACGTATAGAACTGTATTAATATTTTGATGTGCAATCTTAAAAAAAGCTGTATAAAAATTTATAGACTAAATTAGATGAAGCACGATCTCACCGAGCCACTTGTTTTATATGTGCATGTTAGGTTTTAAGCACTGTTAACTTAGGGAAAAAAAGGAACGACTCAAGCACCTTCTAGCTGAAGGAACACATAGCGAAGGGGTCAATATCGTGCTGTTTGCGTAATTTGTTGAATTGTCGCATGCACGCACAAAATTACTATTATGCCTATCATACGATGTTGTTCTAGGTACTCTTAGGGTGGATTGAAACGAGTTGATTTGCATGGAATATTAAAATATATCGATATAAATCAGTTTTTCGGTTACTTTTATCCTTTTTATTATTTTTCATTAAAACAAAAATAAAGGACAAATCTTTATCCTGTGGGAAAATATTTTTAAAACATTCTAAAATAGTTTTCCCTTCCTTCCCTAAACTTATTTGTTTCGATAACATATTGTATTTATTTTTGTCAAATTAGTAACAACTACAAGCACGATCTTCAGATGCCGACACTCAGTATTTTTCATACAAATTTCCTTCTCTTGTATTAAAGGTTTAATGAGGAATGTAAAGATAGAAGGATAGAAGAGGTGGTGGTGGATGAGTCTGCTCCCTACCCAGAAGAGAAAGAAGCGAAAATTTATATGCATACAGTGTTTACAATTAATTACTAGTAAATTATATATAAATCCCTGCTCGATATCGTACGTCTTAAATCCAGCGTGATATAAAATTACATACAAACCTTAAACACATAATGAAACTTAGAAATAGCAGCAAAACTGTGCGATATGCTTTTACTGCCCAAATTCAACAGCGTTTGCACGAACACATCTATCTTGAGTGGGTTGTAGGGAGCGGCTTGAGCGGCTGCAGGTTGTTCGCCTTCGCGTAATGGGTTCGGCAGTTCGCGGAGAACATTCAAGGCTTCTTCAGGGGTGCACTTGTTGCGGACGCATACGACAAGCTGATGGGCCGCTTCGGTGCCCGGGAGAGATGCTATAACAACACGCAAAATAATTAACTAATTCAGACTAATTTCAACTAATTCACATTTTCAGAGTTTAACGATATTTGCGTAAGAATGGCTTAGTTTGATATTATAATAGCGGACCCGACAGAGGTTGTGCTGTGCACAAGTCTTAAATTAAAAAAACCATTTTGTAGTACAACGAATATTGAATCTAAACCATTCTCGAATGATGAAAACACACACACAAAAAATGACATCAAAATCAAAGGTCCAGCCGTTTAGGAGGAGTTCAGTCACATACAAGCGCACAGAAAAATTATATATATAAAAATAGTACATGGTAATTACTATTACCGTAGTATTTTATGGTTTATGTACACCTACAACTCAAGAGACACACATGCGTTGCCGCCCCGTTAATTCTACCCTACCCCTGAATTACCCCACCCCACCTCCCCGTGCTGGGTATCCGATAACCTCACACACGCAAAAGGCAACGAAAATAACTTTTCACCTACAATGGTAGTCTATACAAGACAAATAAATAAAATCGAAGTGTCTGTTATTAATATCAAAATAATAGGTTTTTTCATACTCACACGGTTATTTGCACGATGGGGCCTCAAAACCAGTTTAAATATTTTTTGTCTGTCTGTTGGTTCCGAATAATCTTTAAAACGGCTGGTGCGATTTTGATAATATTTTACTACCATACCATAATCCTACCATACCATAATCCTTATACATACAGCTGTATGTATAAGGAGTAACTTAGGCTATTTTTTCTTTTAGAAAAACTCTATAAAATTTTGGCCGGTCCGGCAATCGAACCCACCAAGCCAGCGCTTTTCAAATGCTATGCGAACGAACAAGCTTTTAATAATAAATTTTCACACAGGTAATTTTACTTTAAGTTTACAACACTGACTTACCCTTTCGATAATACAAGACCAAATGAATTAAGTAGTACGCAATATTCAACTAGTTCGTGCACAATAAGTTCCCGTGTAAATAGCAATAATTAACTAAGATCCAGTGCGAGATAGTAAGAAACAATAGCAGCGTGGAGTTGCACAAGCGCATGTTACCTTAAGCTTATCGCTAACGTATATTATAGTACAGAAAGACCATGAGAATTGGATGGACTCAGGTGGGAACTTGCTGCGTTTTTAGTACTCCGTTGGAAGATAGTTTTGTCAAGTGTTTAACTAACTAAGAGGTTATAAGATGAACGTGTATTCGGAAGTACAAAACACTGTTGTGATGGGCCTGTTGTCGAGGTCGTGGGTTCGATTCCCACTCAGGACACATAATATGAAGTATGATGAGCACGAGCATTTGGTCTGTATCTGGGTGTAATTTATCTATGTAACCGACTTACAAAAAGGAGGAGGTTTTCAATTCGTCGGAATCTTTTTTTTAAATATATGTTCACTGAGTAGTCCAAGATGCCTCTTTTTGTGTTTATGTGTGTATTTAGTAATATATATAAGTTTATGAGCAGTCTAGTTACTATAGCAAGGACCCTCCCTAGTTTGAGATGCGTGAGGTTAGACATCTATTTATGATTAGAAGTTACTGAGAAGTCTCACGCATTTTGACAAAACATTCTGTACTCTCGCCCAGTACAAAGAGATATACTATAAAGACAATAAAATTAGGTTTGCCAGTAATTTATGTCCAACAGTAAGCAAAGTTCTTCCTCTCCTCTAGTGATAGTACTAAAACAGCATTTTTAACTACTCATTGCTGTATTGAAGAATCGTCAATATGATAACACTTACTCATCACATTGCAACACTGAATGCATATATGTACATTTATAAAATGAATAAAAAGTATTTTTAAATCTACATAAAACTAACAAATCAACAACAAGGAAAGCCGACGGATTCTCTATGCGTTCATGCATAGCATCTCATGTTGATATAAAATGATATATACAAAGCAAACCAATAATTGGCGAACGTCCACTATTCGTATAAAAATAAACATTATGCACGTTAAAATAAAGATGGAACTTCGATGATCGAAAAGCGGTCAATCTAAGGAATAGTTCACATTATCGGACCGCGGACACGAGCGACGATGTTTTATAAAAACGTATATCCACGAGATGGAAAGTTTGCACGCAAAGAAAGAATTTCATTTGGCCACCGATCGCGTGAAAGATGTTAGTTTTTTAAGGGACATAAATTATGCCACACTAATGAAATGTCAAATAAAATAACACTTACTATTTAAATCATATACATAATATAGAAATTGGTTTTAAGAAAATAATAACATATATTTTAAATATTAATACTGTGATGAGCATTGAATTGATTAGGGGTATACATTGGGAAAAGATTTGCGACTTTTTAAAAAAACTGGTTATATTTATTGATTTTGTAGTGAAGTGTAATTTAAAACCATTATTTTTAAAACAAACATTCACAAAGAATATTATTGGCGTTGTTAAACTCGCGATACGCTACAGAAGGAAATATTTTTTCAAATCCAGTGCCACTTTTTCATCCCCGGGGGAGAGTGATAATTCCGGGTGTTCTTTGTGTCCGTTTCATGTATGTTTGTAAAGTCCCCCGCGACACAGGAATATATATTCCTAATGCGGGCGTTGTCTTTTTAAAAAAAAAAAAAAAAAAAAAAAAAAAAAGTTAGTTTTAGAGAGGCTTGAAAGGCAGTAATGGCATTTCAATCCTCTCTAAAACTCTATAGCTCTTATAGCTTCTTCACACATTAAGAAATAGTTCTAAATATATGAGTTTAGTAGTATTAATGTTCGACGGGCAAAGATCATTGTTTTTTTGGAGTGAAACAAAACTTCTAAAGTATATCACTTAACAGTGTTATAAGTTAAAAAAAAACTAAGTTATACTTAATATTGAGCAGAATATTAGTTTTGCGGATTCAGCTATTTGGTTTGACTATAATAAATATAGAGATAATAAAGACAAGACCTAACTCCTTATTATGAAAACAACAACACTTATTAAGGTTAAATTATAAAATTATTTATTTATTTATACATCATGCACTATTGGTGCATTGGCGGACTTAATGCCTAAGGCATTCTCTACCAATCTAAAATCTGTGCTTTAAAAACTCGTTATCGCAAGGATCTACTGTACCTATTGCAGCAGTATCCTCCTTCACCGTCAATAATTCAAGATAAACATGTTTCTACACATCCTTACTAATCAAGGGCCTATTCTTCGGCATCTAGACGTTCGAAAAGTAAATACTATAATAAATGTTTTTTACTTAAATTACGATGCCCGTGACAGATTCAGAATAAGTAAATGAGTTAGAAGAAATGTTATATTTTGACATGATTTAATATTTTTCGTAAGCAAAACCAACGACTTGATTTCATTGAAAGTCTGAACAACCGCCTTCAGCTAACGTTTCTCTGCGAATAGAAGAAAGCATGATGTATAGCAAAGCATATACAATTTCAAATGTTTAGTAATGCGACAATTGTGGAAAACATACTTTCTAATTTATTACCAATTCAAATAATGACTACCGCAATCGCTTTGCCTGTACCTGTGCAATGTACATACAATCTCTGGGTATATATTTATACCCAGAAATTGTATGTACAATATTTATATTAACAAATGGTTAATTAGAACCATTTGTTTTATTATTGATAGATTATATGTATTTAGTAAATCACAAATATTGACAGCAAAAAATGACAAAGGTGACAACAAGAAACTATTGTGGTCATGAGATCAGAAATAAAACCGTCTTTACAGCGCGAAAGGAGATAAAAAGCTCATCTACATATTCTTCTTCTCAGCTGAAAGGCGTCCACTGCTGGACACGGCACAGCACGGCATTGCACTGTCTGTTACAATAACTTTTCTACGAGTGATCTTTGTTTTGGAGCACTGCGTTATTTGACGTCAATTTATATTATTATGTTACATAATATAATTACGCAAATAAAAGATTTTATAAAAACAATTATGAAAAATATACTAATTCCTTAATAGATCACTTGTATATGGAGTTAGGCACAGAGTATAATGTTAAACAAGAAAGCTGTTTCTCTCGCGTCTTCCGCGCACAAGTTACAGCATAGTGGTGGTGTATACATGCGAGCGCTGTTTGAGCCAGTCCGCGCCGCCAGTGCGCAAGCACAGCACTCGTTACACCAAAGAACGCTCGTCCAAAGTGGCAAACAATTTGTGTAGTGTCGTGAAATAGTGAATAAACATGAGATCCGCGTTAATATGCCTTTTCTTTGCGGTCATTGTAAGTACTAATCTCTGCTAATAAATTAAAACTGAAGAGGTGTTTTTATAATCTCTGGAACTAATACTTTCATTAGAGAACATAGTTTCTTTGGCATTTTATGGTTATATTTTGAAGAAGCTTATACGCTTTTAAGCTCTCTTCTTCCCTTTACAACGGAGTATTGGCCTTAAACTCGGATGAAATTACGAGAGCAAAGAATAAATTTTAGTAAACTAGAACTGAAGAAACACTTGGCGATATTCCCTGCTGTTATAGCGAATACATCAATACGACATATTATACATATAATATTAGTAAAAATGTTGACCGTTGACTGATAGGAGCCAGCAGACAACGCCGTCGACTTCTGAGATTGTTGGGTTTGGGTAGTATTTTACTTTTCAGTTAATAAAAGTGAATCGGAAAAAACGGAACCCTTATATGATCACTTTCTTGTCCGTCTGTCTGTCAAGACCCTTTATCTCGATTTATATTAAAACCATGTACTCAGGTCTACAGTCCCTTGCAGCTGCGAAAAAAAACAAACTCTTAAATTAACGTAAGTAAGTACAGAGAAAAATCTGAAAACTATACATTTGTAATTAAATCATAAAAAATATTCTTTATTTAAAGTACGTAATCAATCATCGTATAAGTAATTATAGGTTTTGAAAACTGAATTTCGGGAAAAGCTCGGCAAAAACTACGAGACTCAATTCCTGAACCATTTATATTACCTATGTACCTACAAATTTGTACGGAACCCTCGGTGGGCGAGTCCGACTCACACTTGTCCGGATTTTATTTTACTACTTTGGTATAGACTGAATAGTCTAGGTCGTGTGTGAGATGTGTAGGGTTATTATTATTATATTTCAACCTTAGTATCCTTAACCTTAGTACATGGCGTCAAGGAAACAACTAAACGTCATTCTGCGCCCTAAATTCTAAAATTTTTATAATAGATTCCTAATTACATATTTTATTAATCTAATTAATTAACCTAATTAATTAAATAAAATAAACATGTTGTTTATTATATTCTTGAAGTTTATCATTCTAAAATCAAAAACAAAAGATGGCTGCACATTTTGAGACTATTATCTACTATTCTCAATGTTTTGACAAAGATGTTTATTATGCTGTAGTAAAACAAATGCAGACACACCGACACACACACGCACAGAGATACTGAATACAAATAAAAAACAAAAAATATAAGGCTTATTATACAACAGACAATGACCTTTACGATTTGCACGGTATTGTTACAGAAACAGATTTCCCATCTTAGTAGAGCGATCGGCTGCATTATGAGTGTCGTGGAAAATCATATTAGTGCACGCTATAATGTATCATTAAAATATACGAAATTGTGACATAAATAGATAAAGGCCTGGGAACTTTAATGGGAATGTTTAGACACTTTTGTTTTCATGAGTTTGACGTAAAAATACACCTGTCAGGCCGTTCAAAATAGTTAGTAATCCTAATAATTTGGAATACCTAGACTGAGGCTATAATATGTGTTTTTTTTATTTCCTTGAATAGAGCAAGATACAATTTAGTCATCGAATTTAATCACACTAATACCTTCTAATTGTACACACTTATTCCTAAAATATTTGATAAATATATTTAAAAAGAGGTTATTGTTTTACATGCCCCTTGCATTTGTTATATGAATATTTAAGTAGCTATATTTATCAGCTCTTTTTAGGAAATTATTTACTGTTTTCTGAGAGAGGTCCTCACTTGGTGTTATAATTTATTCCACTTCTACACCCGCATTCTCTGGCCTTTAATAATAATGATGACTTGACAGACTTAACACGACATAACACCATGTAATCCTAAAGGCAGAGCCTATTTGGTAACGAGACTGCTGGCAAATATTCTCATATATTAGTAAATACATTTATGTTATATATATATGAATTACGCTCAAACATAGAACAACATGTTCATCACACAATATTATTGATCCAGAGTGGATCTCAAATTAACGATCTCTGGTGCAATACTTAGGAGTTTAATAAGCACTAGTCAGTCACCAGACCAATTTGTTTCTTAGAATATTTTAGTTTCTAGATATTATTCGTAAGACATAAATGAAGGAACTTTTTGGAGGCATCGCCATGTACGTTCTACCAAGTCTACTAATGTGTTCTTATCTATAGTTCGAAGGAAATAATAAATTATTTGTAAGTATTATATATTTAGAATAACCTTCTAATACTTTTATACACTTTCTGTAATAAAAAACGTTGTGTGTATGAAAAGTAGGCACAAAGGATCTGCGTAAAGTTTGTCTTAGGTCTCATATACTAATGTATATGAGACCTAAGACAAACTTAGTGAAATAATTTTCAGTTATACTATTTTTAATTAGCTGTTTCCATTCAATAATATCCAAAAAATATTTTTTTCGAAGAATCTATTAACTAGATATCATACTACTACTCGTATATACTGACTTAGGTGGTATTGATATCCATTACAAATATATCTACAGTTTTACTCAAATGACTCCTGACACCGTCATCACTCCTTAAAAAGGAGTTGGCCCCCTTCGAGTCGAAACAAGTCGATATAGTTTAGATACAGATTTCTACCTTAACATCTACATTAATATAATCACCTGATGGCAGGTGATGATGATGATGATTTTACTATGAAGCAAGCACCTATCTACACTCTTTTCTTGAGCACACCCAGTAGCACGAATCATTATCCCATGAACTTATGTCTGTATTTCTTATATTTATTCTTGTGTTGAATTACATGCAAGTTATAATATATTCTATACCCCAATATTGGTTGAGTAATCACTTCATAAAGCACCTATTACATTACCTAAGTTAGTATGTATACGGTCCATGAATATATAGGTCTAGATCAAATGTACAGAGGCGATAAACGGTCTATCATTGTTAAGATACAAAGAAATTGCTAAAGAGCGCGATTAACATCTCCGAGAAGGTGTAAAGAAGATCTAATGCTATGAAATTTCATATATCGATCATTAGAGATATGTACAAGATTGTACCACTAACTTAGTTTATTATAATTTCAGAATATAGTAAACTACGTTAGAAAACAAAGGTATTCGTAAGGAGAGATTATGTATATTGAATTTCTGTACTTGATTTAATATGACAATGAAAATAATTTCACAATACTATTTAAAAAATAACCTATTTTATAATCAAACTTGTTCCTTTTAAAATACCATAAGGTATTGATTATGTCACTAACCGGTAAACAGACAGTGCACCGTAGAATAGAATAACTATGTTGCGTATATTATGTGTGTCTATTATGTGAGTGGCGTGTGTTCATATTATTGTTTCTAGTCAACACTAGTTTGTACTCAAACTTAGAACATTGTACTGGGTAGCCAAGCATTTTCTTGGTACGTTACAGAAGTCGTGGTATATGAAAAAAAAGTATAGTTAATTTTATTTTATATAGTTATGGTTGTCATCTTTATTCGCTTTTTGGCAATCGGATTATTTATTGATTGACTTTTATATGTATTTTGTTTAACTTGCTTGCATAAAATGTGTGGACTAAAACTATTTAATAAGGTTTTCCACTGTTAATTTATTGTGTGATTACATTTTCTGCGATTACATCGTCATGATCGTAGTAATGTCGGTTTTGAAAAAAATACGAAATTTGGTTTTTACCATATTTGGATACTACATTATCTAGATATTATTACTACATTCAAGAAAAAAATATATGTATTTTAGATTTTAAATTATTTAGTGTTTGTTTGATAGGCAATCAAAGTAAAATGAAGAATGTGATTTTTCTAGATAATTGTATAATTATTAGTTGTTATTTTTATTGCATTTTAAAATATACCCTATTTTTCACTTGTATGCTAATTTTCATAATTACAGATTTAAAATTAAAAAAGTTATAACAAAAAAATAACAATTATTTGAAATGGCTATCTTTTAAAGTTCAATAAATGTCAGATCCGACACTATTCTACGACTATGACGACATGCAATGACAGTAACATCACAGTAGCATCGACCGTGACAATTTTTTTATATCAAGTATTAATAAACTAACAATTATTATGACAGTAATTATTGTTATTTCCTTAAATCCAATTAACTACTTTAAGACAATATTCATATACTCGTAATTTATGAATTTCCTTGAATGTGCTTGACGGGTTTCTAGTAAAAATATCAGCATTATATATATCAGGTAGGGTATGGTTAATTAATATAGGGTATTAGGGTTATAATAGAATTATTATTATTTATTTTAATAGGGTTTTATTTAATACTAACTGCCCCGACAGAAGTTATTGGGCTGTCGCACTCCAATAGAAAAAATAAATAAATAAAATGTTTTCTTATTTATTTTGGGTATGCATAGATCAATACTCATTCAGACAGTTTGACAGCTAAGGATAGGTGTTTTAATTTATTCTGTGGTTTGTATGGGATAATAAGTCTTTTTTACAATTTTTCTTAAAATTCTACGTCTTATTTTCTCTATGAGAACCTTCCGCGTGCCTTAACGAAAATTTGAAAAGAAAAATCAGCCGAATCCGTCAATCTGTTCTCGAGTTTTGCCCTTGGCAACACATTTTGCGAATCATTTTTATTTATGTATATTAACGTCACAAATAAAAGTTTCATATCTCCGATATACACTAAAGTAAACAAACTGTCGTAAAAAAAAACATGAATTATGTTGATTGTGGACATACGACACTAAATATTACCAAAGTCTAAAGTGAATTTCTGGCTACATGTGTACTTTGTCTCGGAAAACTTTACTACAGACCGGACCTAACGATCCAAAAGTACCGATCTTGGTCACATTTATATTCGCCAAATGGTCACTGCCAAATGGTTATGGTTGAGTTAAAAAAAAAAAGATTTAGTTACGAAATTATACTAAACTACCAGCTACTGTCCTCTAAACATTCAAATATAAACGCATTTAAATATATTACTTAAAAGAAAAATTATTCAATTGGAAAATATTCGCGAGCGGGGTTGGATAGCTTGTCACGCAATCGATTTGCACGCCAATGTCTCCGGCGCACTTTCCCGCCTACCACCATTTTACTTTCAAACGCATACCAAGTCAAATTTAAGCGTTTTTTTCATCAAGATAATTCGAATAATGGCCGTTAATTACCTGTCTCCTACTAGTTACGATATATGTTTACTACTATATATGAAATTGAGTTTATTAATTACTCATTTTACGTCGTTTCAGGTTCGGAAAGAAGTAACTCGCGCCGAACAACACGATGACTTCAGACCTACACCGATTCCACTAAATACTTGGACGGGCGAGAACCAAGTACCAGCCGGTACCTTACAAGAGTTTATTAAAACCGACTTACCACCGACAGTAGCCGTCATACCTGCGCACTATTGGGAAGATGCCTTGAGACATAGTGTGTACTTAACAATGGTTCGAGACAAAATAGATCAGCTAATAGAAAAAGGTGAGCTCATATCACCTAACAGTAAACCTGACGGTGAGGCATCAAAAGAAGTTGATGATCATGACCTATGGGAAAAAATTAAAGCAGCACCCTTCGATAGAGTTAAAGAGGAGCCTCTTCCACCTAGTGATTCTATAATATTAGCTAGAGGCAGGCTGCTCGAAGAGAAAGACGGATACCGTTTTGCGGAGGGAGATCTATCACCCCAAAAGTGCAGCAAAAATAACTGTACGCATAATGTCAAAGCATACTGGTCTGTCAAGAGAACAAGGCAAGGAGAGACGTCTCCCGGAAAATATCACTATGAGTTGACATTTTCAGTGACGTCGCAGTCAACGAAAGCATTAAGAAAAAAATACGAGAATCCAGTAAGAACATTTACAATTAGAGAGAATGCCCCAGCGGAGCGGCCCTTGCCACAATCATATCATAATCAAGGAACCCCGATTCAGCATGGGCGAGTTCAACGTGCCGTATGGGTCCATAAAAACATAGGTCCATCTCCAAATTCTCAAAAAAGGCCAGAAAATGGCCTTGGTTTAGATAGACTTTTCTCGTCTTTATTTTCGGATGAAGATAATTACGATGATTCTTCATACCGACTGAAATCAAATGCTTATATTCCACAAGCATATCAGATTCCTAAACATGCAAAAATAAGTCGATATAGCGAACGAGAACCATATCATCAAAAAAAAATAAACACTTATCCTATAAAACCACCCTCATTTAGATACCCTCGTCCTCCCCTTCAACCTCCGCCTTTATCTTATACGCCACATTCATACTTTGACGTGAATTATGATTCTATTAGTCACTTACCCGTTGATCCTGATAACAGACCTGTACCCTCCACCTCTGTTAAAACCACGAAACCAGCTGTTTTACCTACACCAATATCAAAAATCGAATTGGTAAAAGACTCTAAAATGGACGAGCCGTTAAAAACTACACTAGATGTCATAGATTACACGACTAAAGACCCAGAAATAACATCTACTACTTACAAAGTATATACTCATAAACAAACGTCGATGAAAGTAAATTATCTCCCAGAAAACATAAGACATCCAATTTACAACGCTCCCCCAGGAGTTTTCGTTACAATGGATAAGAAGCCTTTTAAACCGATGCCACCATTAAAATCTATACTTTCTAAACCACATAAAACTGTCCCTTTAGATTTCAGGCCGAGCCCTCAAATACTTGATACTTCATATACTAATACAGATTCCACAGCTGACTCCGCATTTAGACCCATGACCCTGAACTTAACAGAATTATTTAATATGAACAAGAAAGGTCCTAAAAACCAACGCAAGCCGGTTACGGGTAAGAACCCACCGAAAAAGCCGAATAACATCAAAGCGACTCGCCTCACAACAGTCTCACCAGATATAATTACCGCAAATTCAGAGGAAGGAAACGACGAGATACGCTGGGCTGAAATTTTAGCTGCATTTACTAGAACTACTCCGATGGAATCACAAAAAGAAAAAGAAATTATTTCTGAAAATGATTTCATCATAATGACTACAGCAGCTCCAAGAACAACCACAGAGCAATATAAAGAAGAACCTACAACTACAAGTACAACAACAACAAGTACTACTACCACCACAACAACGGCTAAACCTAAACGGACACGCCCGCCACCAAAATTTAAGAAACCAGAAAAAAATAAAAAACATAAGCGAGTCACTTCTACTACAACAAGCACTACTACAACTGCCAGGCCGACGATGATATACCCTAAAAATGAAATCACCAGTGATTTAACGCCTCAAGCCAGCTCTGCAACAACTAATGGAGCTAACTCTGTACGGGAATCTGAGCCAATAGGAGCCCCTACAAGTACTAGTTCGACTACGGCTATTATGACATCTACATCCACAAGCGCTAGTACGATAGCAACTACGACACAGACTTTGGCAACTACAAAAAACTCCATCACCAGTACCACCACAACTACCCCGAGTGCTAAGGTAAAAGGTGAACCTGTAGTTGTACCCACAGAGATAAAGAGTAAAAACCGATTTAGGCAATCTATGTTAATGCAAAAGGGCACATCTTTAAATCACGACAAGTGGTCGGTGTCTACAACGGAAAAGAATAGAACGACTGCCGTCAAACCGAGCTCATACAATCTCAGAAGAAAAGCATCGAAATTTCAAGGATATGTTCCTCCAAGTACTCCTTTAAGTAGCACGACATCACTAAGTAGCGAAAACATTCAAGTGAAAACACCAGTTTCTACAGAACCAACCGTTAAAGATACCAACACAAGCAAAGAATATGTCGTGAAAGATAGCATTGAGATGGAAATGGAACAAGCATTAAAACCTAACGATGTCCAAGGGACTAAAGATAGCAATGAGTTCATATTTCCAATCTCTCCTAGTAGTGATAATAATTCTGAAAAAAATTCTGAAAATCCTGGCCAACATTCTAAAACTAATCAGACTGTAACGTCACAAATTACAGTGGAAAATAATAAAACCAAATGTAAAAAGAAGAAACAACAAATTCTCACGACAACAGAAATTTTAAAACCCTATAGTGAAGTAGACACTACTACAATTACTATTCGTACTAGCAGTATAAAAGCCACTTCTTCAACAATTAGTGCTGATAGGGCAGATTTATATAATGAACTCCTCGGAGGTTTTACAATGGATGACATTACTGAACAAACAGAAGCAAATATGTCTACTACAATTGCTCCTGATGAACCTAAAGAAATCGAAAGTGTTCTTCCCGAAGAAGTCTTCCAAATAGATGACGATATCGAAACCTTACTCAATTCTCTACAACAGACACATGACAAAAATAGTGATGATGATGATGAGTACGAGGAAGAAAATGATGATGAAGATTCTCCGTTGAGATATGATGAAGACGGTAGAGATGTACATGAAGATTATTATGACGAAACCGAAACTGGAGAAAGTCAAGAACGGCCATTTAACATACTAGAATTAATGGCTATGAAATAGACTGAATGTGTAGTGTAGACCAGTGTTTCAGCTTTAAACTGTTGTGTCCCTAGTGATTCGTGTAATTGATGACAAATGAGAACTATTTATTATATTTAATGTAGTGTTACAAATTGTTTGTCGGCATTTATTTGGTCAAGCCAATAATATCACAATTTATACTATTTCCATTTCCGGATTTCTTACCGGGATGTACATATGTTCAGTTCATTTCAGTTAAGTATTAGACTAAGATAAATAATATGTTTTAATAAATTATAAATAATATAACATTATGTTTATACTAAAGTATTTTATTCTTACCTGCTCCTTCCATAGAGTACTTGTATATGGGTTCTGGTTTTAATGGCACAAAAGCTGCAAACGATTCAGGCACCATGTCTTTTATTCTCGTTTGATATGACAATCTGCAGCAATAGAAAAAAATTAGCAGTGTTTCATTTTACATTCCTATTCATCATAATAAAATAAATTCATGTTCGTTTTATGAATTTGTTTTGGCTGCTAAATACTAATTTAGTAGCTGTAAACATTTAATTTGTAATGTGGGTTAAAAACTAGAGTAGTCTTCTTATTATTTCACTGAATTTTGTGGGTTCAATACCCACATGGGACAACACTTTGTGTGATTGTGTGATCCACAAATTATCATTCTGAGTTTTTCTTTGTGTCATTTCATGTTTGTTTGTAAAGTAACCCACGACACAGGATATATTCCTAGTGTGGGAGTTGTCTTTAAAAAAGTAAAGTAAAAGTGTGTATAACATTGTTCTACAAACCTAAGGCATTTTCCAAGAACCTCTCTGACAAACCGTGGCTTGGGGTGTTCAGGATCTAACTGGACACATGCTTCCCAGTCTTCCCATGACCAACGGTACTGGAAGTTGCTGAGATGGTAAGCAAACCAGTTAACAAACCTGAAACAGTAATTCAAATTCATTGTGTTTTTATGGTTTTTGAAGCCAATTTTGTCTACCTAGGGATGTAGAAATAAAAATATTTATAGTTGATATGCAAAAGTGCAAACAAGTAGTTGTTGATTCATATGTATCAATAAAAAAATTAAATGATGCAATAATGGCTTTGACAGGTTAAGATACATTTGTTTAAAACAAACCATTTAAACTGTATGAATAATTTACAAATAATAATACACCATTAGAATTTTAAGTTGTCTGCTTATAAGAACAACAACAAATAAAATACATGAATACAAACCTATCAAAACAAGCAATATTAAAAGTATCAATCCTCAAAAATAATATTTCTGTTGCTTGGGCAAGCACTTGTGGCATTGTCGAAGGTTGGAGCTTACATAACTCAATCAATATTGAACCATAGCATATCTCCAAGTATCTGGGCCTGGGTAAGTTGAATAACTCCGCAAATATGACTTCTACAATACAATATTCTAAAGGTATCTTTGCTTTGTAGGGGAAACACAATAGTTGTGCAGCACATTCCTTGCGTTCCAAGTGATATGCTTCAATAATATTATGCAAGTGTTCTTCAATAAGAAATCTTTCAATTGAATGTGCTCCAGGTAGAACTGGTCCATCAGGGCAATCCGTGTAATCAAACATGCGGAATATAACTCTTGGCATTGGATAAGTATCATTGTCATTGTGTGGTGGTGGCTGTAACAAGTATTTATTATTTTAATGCTATATTCAATTTAGTTGATTTTTATTATGGAAGATTCATCATAACTACACACTGCCCATTGGTTCATTCCTTGAGGCTCAAAAGACGTTTCGTTTTTAAGGTTTTTTTTAGCTATAGAATAGTACATCAACTTAGACATCACCATAAACTCTGTCTCACCAGTAGGCATTATACCACCTGTATAACCTTATTTAAAAAGAAATAATTATAAATCATGATAGGACTGACATACACATAGTATAAAGTTCCTGGTAATTAATAAAGAGAAAATAATTTATTTCTTACCTGAATAGCAGGAAGTGTGTGTTGTAAAGCTTCACACAATATAGAGTCAAAGGCAAGGTAAGGCCGTGGGATATGCTTCTCTGACCAGTTGTCTTGCTTCAACTTCTTAATTTGGGCCCATAAACAATCTAAATACTCTTCTTGAAGGTGAGGAGTATCATTAGACCATACTTTCAAAGCTTGCCAATGCTTTTTACTACGCTTATTTAAGAATATTTCAATTGTTGTCAATAAATTATCTAACTGGGACTCCTTCTTTTCATATAATTCCCTACCAACCCACGGTAAGGCTGAGAGAACAGCAAATATGAACCAATCCCTCCTTACTTGTGGCACTCCATCCTCATTTGCACAGTCTACTAATGTTTCTAATAAAGTCAAAAGTGAAGAGGCGGCCAATACATGACAATTTACTAAATCTGCAATGAATCTGAGCGTGTATCTCGCTCCATTCCACTTGCCACTCTTCAAATTCTCCTTGAATGTCTTTACTATGTAGTCAACAAACTCACCACCGAAATTATAATTTTTAGCATTTAAAAGACCTACTAACGTGGCATAAATAGTACACTTCTCCGGCATACGTATAGCGCAATCAGTTAGAATACGCAAAATTTTGACCCGAAAAGTGCTTAAGTCGGCTTCCAATACACTAGCCAATCCTTCCAAGTTACTCTCTAAGCTGGAACTACTTTTCTCACCGACTCTCAAAATGAGAGACTCCAATCTGTCTTCAATCTCTTGATTCTCAGACACACGACGTCTTTTGCGATGAAGACGTTCTAAAAACAAAAAGTATAACAAGGGTCATCAAACCAATAATTTATAACCTACAATGCATTCGGTAATAAACTTTCTATGTACAGACCATAACCATCGTCTTCATCATGAGCTCTTCTGCGATTCATAATTTGGAGATTTAATTCACAATCTTTCAAAACCTGAATACCAGACAAATTAAATTAAACAAAAATATACGCCAACAAACACCAGTCACCGAAGCAAATCGAAGTTGACATTAGTGAAGTGAAGTGGCCTTTCCTTTGGCAGTAAGTATCGATATATACTCACATCAAAAATAATGTCATAAAAATTAATAAAACACCTCAAAGTAAGTAAATATATTTATACACGAGCATGTTTAATAAAAATATTTTCAATGTTTTTGTGCTTGAATTAGATCTGAATTGTAGGGTATTTGTAAGTAATTTATGTATTGTGTACCGCACATAATAAATTAGTTAGTTACCCGCCTCGGTGTTTGATTTACGTTCCATTGGCGACGAGGAACATTTTTGTTTAAAAATATCGAATCGTAGTGTGCAAATCACTATTAAAATGCCTATCGGTAAACTAGAACCTTTCGATGTTAACTCAAAACAGTGGCCGGCATACATTAGGCGCGTTAAACAATATATTTTACTCAACGAAATAAAGGATGAATTACGTGTGCCGTTACTTATTACGGTGGTGGGTGAACATACTTATTCGTTAATGTGTGATTTATGTGCGCCTAAAAACCCGGAAGAAAAATCTTTTGATGAATTGATAATGCCTTTATTGGAGCATCTTGAGCCACAAAGATCGGAGATCGCGGAACGCCACGTGTTTCGTTTACGTAGGCAGCGGGACGGTGAATCCATGACGGAATACCTCCAAGAACTTAAACATCTGGCGACTACTTGTAATTTTGGAACTACGCTGGAAGAAAACCTTCGAGATCAGTTTGTATCAGGTCTATCCAACAGCGCGATGAGATCTCGTATTTTTGCTGAGAAAAGCATTACATACAGGGAGGCAGTGGAACTAGCTCTGGCGTTGGAGGCCGCGGAACGGCACGCGGAGTTGAGTGGGGCGACGGCCCCAGTCTCGGCTTCAGGGGCAAGCGTGGGTGAAGGCCTGCACAGCACCCGCGCGGGATCCGCGGGCACGAGCGGTGGGGGCGAGCGCCGGACGAGCCGATACCGCGGCGCAGGGGCAAAAGGGTCTAATTCTGCAGCTTCGTCGATATCCCTTCAATGCTGGCGGTGTGGTAAGGCACACCGGCCGGATAGGCGCCGTTACGTTAATTATAACTGTGATGAGTGCAACCAGCGAGGTCATTTGAAAGTGATGTGTCGTGAAGTGCAAGCTAATCGTTCGGATAGGCAAAATTATGTAAGTGGATATGCTGAGGACGAAGATCTGTTTAACATCGAACTGGCGTCTAAAGGTAACAAACCGTTCTTTATTAAAGTGAATATAGACGATTATATGATTGAGTGTGAAGTGGATACCGGTAGCCGCATCTCGGCGATAAGTGAAGTTTTTTATAAGAAAATGTTTTCACACAAAACTATTTATTTTGATAATTTATTGTTACGATGTTATTCGGGCACGCCGATAGAATCGTTAGGTTATATAATGGTTACTGTTAGTTTAGGTAACGTCGTTGCTAACGATTTAATACTTTACGTGATTAAGAATGGAGCACGCCCACTTATGGGCAGGGATTGGCTAAGGTCTCTCAATATCAAACAAATAAGTATTAATGACATTAGTACCGATCCATGTATAAATCGTTTAGCTAAAGAATTTCCGGAGGTGTTTACGGATAAGTTGGGTAAATGTAGGAAATTGCTCCAATTGCAACTGACCGATAGTGAACCTGTTTATGTCCGGGCGCGCACCGTACCACTGGCGCTCCGGGCACGTGTCCAACGAGAGCTCGAGCGTCTAGAGGCCGAAGGCACTATTTACCGCGTCGAACACTCTGAATACGGAACCCCGATCGTGCCGGTAATTAAGACAAACGGCGACATACGAATATGCGGCGATTACAAAGTGACTATCAACCGTAAATTAAAACGGGAATTTTACCCACTTCCCCGCATTGAGGAGTTATTTGCAACTTTGAGTGGGGGAAAGGAGTTTTCAAAAATTGATTTGACTCATGCTTATTTACAGACTGTTTTGGATGAGGATTCGCAAAAGTGTACCGCTATAACTACGCATATCGGAACATTTGTATATCGTCGTACGCCCTTTGGGTTGTCTTGCATTCCAGAAAAATTTCAAAAATTGATGGAGGAGACGTTGCGGGGAGTACCGGGTACGGTCGTATTCTTTGATAATATTTGTGTCACGGGACCTTCGAGATATGAACATTTAAATAATTTAAAGCAAGTTTTGATTAGATTAAAAGATATGGGATTAACAGTAAAACTAAATAAATGTCAATTTTTACAGACGAGTGTTAAATATCTGGGGTTTATCATTGACCAAAAGGGGTTACACCCTGATCCAAACAAGGTGAATGCCATTGTTGATGCACCAACCCCTACGGACGTAACGCAGTTAAAAGGCTTTTTAGGTTTATTGAATTATTACGGCAAGTTCATTCCTCGATTGAGTACACTGTTACACCCGTTACACGAGCTTTTAAAAAAGGGAGTCAGTTGGAAATGGAGTAGCTAGTGTAATCAGGCTTTTGTAGAAGCAAAACGAGCATTGTCTAGCAAGAAAGTGCTCGCGCATTACGAGGAGGGGCGGGCCCTAGTGTTATCGGTGGATATCAGCGCGTATGGGCTCGGCGCAGTACTGGCGCATCGGTTCCCAGATGGCAGCGAGCGCCCCGTTAGCTATGTGTCGCGCACACTCAATCAGGCTGAGCGTAATTATAGTCAAATTGATAAGGAGGCTTTAGCCATATTTTACGGCGTCATTAGACATCACCAATACCTCTATGGTAGGACATTCGAACTAAGGACGGACCACAAACCATTAAGTTACATTTTTGGTCCTAAGATAGGCATACCACAAACAGCTGCTAGCCGCTTGCAGCGCTGGGCAGTGCGATTAGCCGCATATGACTTCACAATTAAATTTGTTACATCAAAACAAAACGGCCCGGCAGACGCGCTGTCTCGTTTACCGTTATCACAGGTGCCGCGCCGTCCTAGTGATGCAGTCAGTTATATTAATTTAGTTCAGGAATGCTTACCTGTTGATTTTATGGAAGTAGGTAAAGAAACCAATAAAAATGTATTATTGTCTCGAATAGTGGGATATGTAAAATTTGGATGGCCATCGGTACCCAGCTGTGAAGCCGAAAAACCGTATTTTGTGCGTAAAAATGATTTGACAGTTGATTTTAGTTGCTTAATTTATAAATATCGTATCGTTATACCTGCAAGCCTACAAGGTAAAGTGTTACATGAACTTCATCAAGGTCACTTGGGAGTAAATAAAATGAAAACATTAGCACGCAATTATGTTTACTGGCCCAACTTAGACATGGATTTAGAAAATGTGTGTCGTTCATGCGAGCCGTGTCGCACGGTGCGTGATGCACCCCCGCGCGACACGCTACATCCGTGGGAATTTCCATTGTTTCCTTGGCAACGTTTACACGCAGATTTTGCTGAACATTTAGGTAAACGATATTTACTTGTAGTGGATGCGCATTCAAAGTGGATCGAAGTGCTACCCATGGCTCGCACGGACGCACAGTCGACGATCACGGCCTTGATGTCGGTATTTGGTAGGTTCGGCTTGCCTTCACAGCTGGTTACGGATTACGGACCCCCATTCCTTTCGATGGAATTTAAAAAGTATTGTATGAATAACTGTATTAGACATGTCACGTCTGCCCCTTATAGACCGCAGGCTAATGGTGCGGCCGAAAATGCTGTAAAAACTGTAAAGAAGGCAATCAAAAGGGCAGTACATACAGGTGAAAACGTTTTGCAAGCCATACATAAATTTTTATTTTACTATCGTAACTGTGAACATGCTTCAACGGGTGTGTCCCCGGCAGTGCTGCTGACTGGACGTCGTATGCGAATGCGATTAGATGCGTTACGACCGGACGTCGCGCAGGTGGCGCGAAAAGCGCAGCAGCGCCAGATAGCGAAAGCAGGGGGCACGCCCCAACCCTCGATTCTTTTAGGAGAACCTGTACTCGCTCGGGATTATTCCGTGGGTAAAAATAAGTGGTCCACCGGTACAGTAACTGAGCAAACTGGCCCAGTATCTTATCGAGTTAACATGGGTAATGGTGTCGAGTGGCGCAGACATCGAGACCAAGTTTTACCAATTGAGAATAAATCACGCCTTTCTTTATCGCGAGCAAGTGTCGGTGAGAAGAGGGGGCAGGGGACTAGCGATGTAGAGGAGCATGTTGAAGATGCGTTTGACGCATCTGAAGAGGGGACGGTGGGGACCGGGAGTGTGGAGTCACCAAGAGCGCCGGACCGCTCCCCGACTCCGCCGCTTCCGGGAGCCACGGCCCGTACCTTACGCGCATATGCACGCGCTCAGAATAAGGCTCGTAATTAACAACTTATTATCTCATATGTATTGTGGCCTACCAGATGTTCTAGTACAGTTAGATAGTGTGATTGATTTGTTTAACTTTACTTAATAGATTATTATTTTTAGGGGAGAAATGTGTAGGGTATTTGTAAGTAATTTATGTATTGTGTACCGCACATAATAAATTAGTTAGTTACCCGCCTCGGTGTTTGATTTACGTTCCATGAATAAATGACAAAATTTTAACGCAAAAATGTTTTGTTTTACAAGCTTTGTAAACATATGCCAGTTCCTTGATTACACACAAATTTGCATTGGTTTGGTTAAAACGTTTAGTAAAAGGTTCAGCTATTGCAACGCTCCCACTCTTGGCTATGTGCGAGAGGGACAGATACCCACACTCGGTGATGTGTCTCTTTCTGCTCGTGCTTCAGCGCCGTACATAAGAACAAGCAGTCTATTTCTTATTATGTCTATGAATGGACCTATATAGTACCTACCCATTGTCACTTGTCAGATATCAGAATTGTCACTCACTGACATTCACACAGTGTTGCCAACCTAGTAGATTTTCCACTAAAACTGGTGGTTTCAACCCCCCTTTCAGTGGCGAAATTTAACTTTTAATTGCTAGTGGATTTTTTTAGTGGTTAGTAGTAATAGTAAGATTGTAAAGGGCTTAGAAAATGCAGTTGTAAAATGAACTGTGAGAACTGTTTGTATACGCAAACCTCAAGAACGTTTGATAGGAAAGGAAGGATGGGGATCGGATAGAAGGATTATTAATTTTAGGCAATGAGATGATGTAGGCTTTCTGCCAGAGAGATTAAAGGTTTTTGGAGTATATATAAATATAGATATATATACGAACCCCGATGCAAAATAATTCGTCTAGTATGGAAAGTAGTGCAAAGCGTAAAATATAGAAAGTAAATATTAGTAAAATAATTAAGAACGTTTAATAAAAAGTAAACCACAATTTGAGGAACATTTCAAAGTTTATTTTAACATAACTGAGATTCTTTCATGACTTTACATCTCAAAAAAATTAAAACATTCTAAAAAACAAAACACAAAAGTATTCTTCTACCCTTGTCACTCACGCAAAATAGTTCGTCTACCACTTAGTTATGTCGCCTTTGCTCTCAATAAGAGCTTTAATGCGAAAAGGCATGGTTGCAACCAACGCTGCACACTCCTCAAGCGTAATTTATTATTATTGATTATTTTTAAAAAATTCTTTACGATTCTGTTTTCTACTGCACTTGTGATGTGTGGTCGACCAGTTTTCTTCAAACAAGAAGTCATTCTATTCTTTTTATAGTGCTGAATGATAGATATTTATAACTTTATTTTGCCAGCATCGACCATACAAACTATTTGTTTTCGAAGCTCTTCACACACGGGTTTGCCACGACCTATTGTTATTTGAAAACTAATGAAAAAGACTGAAATTTTCAGAATTTATACTGTCTCACTTGACAAATGACACAGAATTACATTTACAAATTTAAATTATGCAACATAATTGTACAAAGAAGGAATAATCTTATTGAACTCACCGATAGACGAACTCTTTTGCATCAATTAACAATTAGACAAACTATTTTGCTTAAAACTTCTTCGAATTTGAAACAGGATATGTGTAAATTTAAAAAGCTTAAATAGTTTATTGGTTCATAATTAAAAAATGGCATAAGTAACGCGACATATAATAGTAGAAAAGCTTAATATTTTATGTAGATATACAAAAATAATGAAGTTAGAAAAAATCTCACAGAGAAAATTTCACACTAGACGAACTATTTTGCATCAGGGCTCATATATATATATATACATATATATATATATATATATACATATATATATATATATACATATATATATATATATATACATATATATATATAGTCTATAATTTTTAGGACGTAATCCAGGATGGTAACTATCATCCTATGGCTTGAAAATCATTGCGTTACAGCAATTAGACAGAATGATCTTTTTGTTATTCCCAGAAGGCACAGGGGAAAATTCAAAGTTGAAAATATTGGGTCTGGGCATGGCATACTAGCGATATAATTCAGAGTCCGACTCTATGTTTAACGATCCCTTAGGGTAGCAGAAGAGAAAAGAAAAGTGATGTCATTCAAACCAATGAAATTCGGTCCGTTGTTGTCTACCAATGCGCAACGTGTTATGGAACTTTCACATACTAGAGGTATTGCTCTTCAAACATGCCCAAGGGGCTAAGGGACTACGACATTTGAAGAATTAGTGACCTTTCTTATTACTCTTTTAATACTGCCTCTTTTCAATGCCGATGTTAAGTTGAGAGACTATAGGTATAAACGGAGGAATAGAATGATGTTAAATCTTTTATCTGCCATGTTATGAATAAGCTGTAGTTTGAAACTGGAAGGAGAATGCTGTAACAAATATGAAATTCCAATAAATATTGTAAAACAAATCAGTACCAAATAATCGTATTAATCTGGAATCGGCCATGATGGTGCTGACTAAAACGATTAGTAATATTAAGGCAACTAGTAATTAATTTACTTATGGTTTTCTTTCGTAATTACTAAAATAATGTTTAATGAAAAATTTATTAATATTTATATCTTAATTGTATACAGTTAACATATTAATAAAGATTAGTTACAAATTTGTAGACGTAACAATCGGTGGTCTTATCACTCACGGCGATCTCTTACCGACAAACTTAATACGGATATTAGATATTTAAACATTTTGGTAGTTTACATACACGTACACAAATATGTATCTATTCATATAACATATATATAAATACACATACATACACACACATATATATACACAGTCTAAAGTATATACTATATACAATGAAACCAACAGTATTTATAATGTCAAATTGAAATCCTTCACTAGCTTTTTAAAAACGGATATAAGAGTAATATTAGAGTAGGGTCGTTTTTCGTTAGTGGTTTTCTGGTGGTTTTAGATGTTGAATCTGGTGAAGAGTTCATTTAAGTGTTGGCAACACTTCACTCACAGTCTCAAACAAGTCACACTTCACTTCATCACAGCAGAATTTTTAACAACACTGACTCGATGAGCTTATTGTGCTTAAATCCTAATTTCTTATTGAACTTTTGAAAATGACTGGTTTTGCTTCAGTATATTAACAAATCCAAACTTGTAGGCCTGTTAATATTAGAAGATTAAAAAATTTCTCATTAGTAACTCAAAATGTCTTGCAATTATGCCGACGGTTTATCGCCTTATGAAAACAAAGGCATTTTAGGAGTCCCAGAAGTAAGTTTACCTATGTTTTTCAGCAAATCAAAGTGTACGTGATCCCCTTAAATATATTTAAATTATTAATTGTAAATTACAGAAATTTGATTCCATAGATAAATTTATTAAGAAGTGCGAGTTATTGGCGCAATTTATAAATCAAGCAAAGCATGTTGTTGTACATACCGGTGCCGGGATTAGCACTTCAGCTGGAATACCGGATTTCAGGTAATGACTACTTCGTATAAAATTTGAAGAAGTGTTTCTGTCAAAAATTCATTATTTATTTCGAAAACGCAAAGTTCATTGAACCTTGGTTGACAGGATTACTTTTACATATTCTTTTTTTATATTTCTAGGGGCCCAAATGGAGTATGGACACTAGAAAGAGAAGGCAAGAGACCTAGTATAAATATTTCATTTGCGGATGCTCTTCCGACTAAAACCCACATGATACTTAAAAAACTGGTGGAATGTAATAAAGTTCATTATATTGTAAGCCAAAACATTGACGGTCTGCATCTAAAATCAGGTTTACCAAGGAAATATCTCTCAGAATTGCATGGTAACATGTTTATTGATGAGTGCAATTTGTGTAAAAGGTATGTCCTTTTTCTATTTATAGTTATTACATTAAATTATTTTATTTTATAATTACATACAACATTATCTTTTGAATGCGTGGACTGTTTATTAACAAGTATCCATCCTAAATTACTTCTCAGGTCAAATATACCATACTGTGTTTAAACTTCAAGCTCTTACTTCTATTAAAAATATTGTGATATTTGCAGAAATAATTGCTTATAATGTATTTAAGTTGAGTGGCTCATTTTCACCATATTAGTATTCAGATGAATTGTAAAAAAATACTTAACTATAATTTCAAAAGTTCAAGCAAAACTACATTCAAAACAGGCAAGGTTGTGATGTTCCTTTTAATAAATAAATTATGTTTTATTGGTGTGTGAATTTTGGGATAGCGAATCCTCAATAGCACAAACAATGTAAAAGCCACACATAGTAGGGACTAAGAACATGTAAGTTTAACTTAACTGTGTTTTTGTATTTATAATACAAGTGGACTGAACTTGCGTGTACATTATAGTATTGAGTATACAACTCTGTGATTTTTAATCTTGGACAAAAAGTTTAGGTACTTAAACTTTAGTAGTTATAGTAAAGTTATAGTAAAAGAAAAGCATTTATCATTCCTCAGTCACATTTTTTTTCTTTCTCAATTCTAGGCAGTTTGTAAGACATTCTCCAGTAGAAACTGTGGGCAAAAAGTGCAGTGGCATACCATGTGCTGCTGAGCATGTGACAGGCAGACCTTGCAGGGGTAGACTATATGATGGAGTGCTGGACTGGGAGCATAGTCTACCTGAAAATGACTTACTGATGTCAGAGTGGCATTCTAGGTAATAGAAATTTAATTGTATGAAGTTTATTTTGTCTTGGTTCTCTCGGCACTGAATGTTTGTTTTATTTTAGTATTGCAGATTTAAGCATATGCTTAGGAACTACGCTGCAAATAGTACCCAGTGGTAATCTACCTATTGAAACAGTGAAATATGGAGGAAATCTAGTCATTTGTAATTTGCAACCTACAAAACATGTGAGTTTTTATTTTCATAGTATAAATTTAATTAGTGCACGGATGGCTAAGTGGTTTAAGCGGTTGCCACGCCGCTTCCTCCTACAATGAGTGTTGTGGGTTTGAGCCCCACATGGGATGACACTTTGTGTTATCCATAAATTGTCATTCTGAGTCTGGTGTTCTTTTTCTCCGTTTCATGTATTTTTTTAAAGTCCCCCATGACAGCTACTGCGGGAGATGTCTCATATAAAAAAAATTGTTTTCATAAAGCAACATGACTTTGCAAAATTATTTGAGTCATGGATCAGTCGGTCTCAGTGCTCAAATTTATTGTCTACTGGCTTTTGCCAGTGGCCCAGCCCGTATATATATTGGTTATTTCGGTAAAAAGTAGCCTATGTATTAGCTGATAATGTAGCTTTCCATTGGCTAAAGAATTTTTTAAATTGGTTTAGATGTGAAAGCGTAACAAATAAACTTACTTTCACATTTATTATAAAAGTAGGGATGACTAGACAATGATGTGTTATGAACACACTGCTATATGTGACCAGTGGTCACCAGTATATTCTACATATGTATATTCTATTCTGGATGGGCCTGCTGGTCTAGTGGTTAGCAAGCCTGGCTGCTAAGCTAGAGGATGTGTTTAATTACCAATCAGGACAAACATTCCGTGATGAGCACAATCATTGGACTTGTCTGGGTGTAATTTATTTATAATATAAACATTTAGAAGTTTAAATATTGTTTATTTTTTATTTTTGATCGTAAGCAATTATTCAGCTTATTAATCTTTTCCAAGTTTTACTTCTAATTGCAAGATTAACTTCTGATATGCCGCTACACCGTACAGTGCTTACCATTAAAAGCACTTCACATTATTTTAGATGTTGAATTTTAATGTGTTTTTCTTATTTATAGGACAATAAGGCTGACCTAATAATAAACTACTATGTAGATGATATTCTTGAAAAAGTTATGGAGATTCTGGGTTTAGACATACCAACATATTGTGAAAACGACAATCCCATCAAGCGGGCAGACTCCACCATCATAGATTGGACTATTGACAGACGAGATGTAGTACAGCTAGAAAAATTATTTAAATCAAAATGCAAAGGTGTAAAGAAAAAAAGAAATTTGGTGAAAAGTAAAAGAAACAGTAGTGATTTAATTTTATTAAATGGTGTATGTGATAAATCTAAAATTGTTAAACGGGACATTAAAGAAGAAAATGTTATTAATGAAGACATAAAGATTGAACCTGTTGAGAATACAAGTGAAACTCTTTAGTGCATATAAACAATTTATTATCTGTTCCACTGGGCCGACGTCGTGAAAGATCACTGTTAATTTAAAATCCCTGATTTTCATCATTCTGTTGACAATTAATCCAGTGTTATTAAATATGGAATGGGGTAGCAATAATAATTATTCAAAATTGAACGTTAATGTATTTTTAATTTAAGTATGTAATAGTTTTGCTATCACTTCGAGGGAGGGAAATGGTTTGACAAGCAGCAAAGCAAAAGCTAAATAGGGTCTGTGATTTCGGCGGTCTCTCTACCCCTTAATCATTTTTGCTGGTTGGAATATTGATACCAAGGCTACTCAACTACTTCAGTTCCCTCCTTCAGAGCGATGTTGTATTAGACCATATACATTCCAGCATCGAACATATAGAAAGCGAATGAAATAGCGGCAGGTAACGAGTACAATGTAGTTTGAGAATTACGATTCTTAATTTATGATCTCTGTATATATAGTTTATTAAAATCATCTTAAAACAAATCTGCGTCTATTTAAAAATAAACAGCCTTTACAGGTACCTGTCTGCACAGCCTTCTCTCCCACATTAGTTAGAATAAAATGGGTGATTTATTTTAGAACCAGACTAAGTAACCTATCTATCTATCTATTACACTAGCCACTACCCTATACCTTTTCCCCTTCATGTTTTCTCTCCATACCACGGTGGCCTGTAAGAGATTGCCTCTGAGCGATAAGGCCGCCACTTGTAGTTGTCTAACCTGCTTTCGAGAATAATTTAGAAAATATTTGATTACCTGATACCTAAGTTGGAGAAAAATTTAATTCAAACTCACTCTTTTCGTATTAAAATAAAATATTAACAAATTATCAAGAAATAGAGTAGATTTCTCCATAGCAAAACAAATTAGTATAACAGTGTTGCCAACCTAGTGGATTTTTCACTAAAACTGGTGGTTTTGACCCCCCTTTTAGTCGCAAAATTTTGCTTTTAGTGGCTATAACCCGGCAATCTCGTGCGCGACCGTCCCGCTAGGTGACAAACAGTGGCGGGGGCGAGGTAGCGCGTCATTTGACGCGCAGATGCACGCGTTTCCCATCCCCGCTACCCGCTGACGTCTTGAGTGCCTCGTCCCCGCCACCGTCGGTCACCCCGCAGGACGGTCGCGCACGACGTTGATGGACTTTAGTGGATTTTTAATCGTTTAATAGTAATAGTAAGATTGTAGAGGACTTAGGAAATGCTGTTGAAAAATGAACTGTTTGTGTAAGCAAACCTCAAGAACGTTTCATAGGAAAGGAAGAATGGGGATTGCATAAAAAATGTTCAGGAAGAGAAGGATTATTAATTTTAGGTAATTGGATAATGTCGGCTTTGTGTCAGAGAGAGGTTTCAGAGTCGAGAAAGAAGTCAATAATGTGGACTACAACTTCGAGGAAGTAATCCAGGATTATAACTATCTTCCTAAAAATTGTAAAATCAGTTGGTAATCTCATTTGTCACCATCTCAGCTATATAATGAATCTATGTATATGCCAAGGAATATTCCCAGAAAGATTCGTTAGTGGGTTTTTTGTGGTTTTAGATGTCGAATCTGGCGGAGAGTTCATATAACTGTTAGCAACACTGGTTTAACAGCACTACTTCGTAAGAAAGGAAAAATATTAACACACCATTACTAAAGTTAACAGAAATAAAACACGAATTTTATCCAAAAATATTTATTTTCTTTTTATAAAAATCATCTTATTTACAACTCTGACATATTCTTTGGTTACATAAGGGAATGTTTTGTTTTTAAATATAACCTTACAATACTTTTGTCGAACGGCCTAATTACTACAGGGCATTGTGAAAACTTGAAACAATTTTGTAACAAAACACTTTTTTACTACAACGACGCTTGCTTATGTGACCGATGAAGGCAGGTATAATTAAGTTTCGTATTAGCAAATTAAGTTCGTTGCATAAGAAAGATTTTTTTATTTTATGTGAGTACTAATAGAAAAAACACAGTCTTAAAACGTTGGTCATAATTATTTGAATAAGGTTACATGCAAATATTTAATGAGTTTTTCATGTAGGTACCTTATTTTATAGTGTAGCCCATTTCTTGTACCTGACCTTATGACCGAGAGTGAAAAAATCAGCTTCATCATCAAGAGCCTCTAACAGTCCACTGCTGCAGAGGAAGATCAGCTTATTAAATATAAATCAACTAAAGGTATATAGGTTATTTGTCATTTGATATAGCTTACTTTGATCATACATCTTTCACTTCTTTAAATTTTTGCTTGCACGCCGAAAAAGCGGTTAAAATATTTTTTTAAATAATGTCAAAACATATGTTATAATTTTCATTTTGTTTTTCAGTGCTTTGTCAGCATTTTAATTGTAAATACGTTTATAAAAAAATATAGAGAGACTTTGGATAACTTTTTTTAATTAGTAAGTATAAAAAATATGTATAAATATAAAAAGTTTACAACTCGGTACCAGCAAGTAAATCTAGTGTAAAAAAAAACATGTAAAAGTATTTTTATTGCATATCACACCGTCACACGTTTCGTGCAAAAATAACCGTAAAAGTGCGTTGCGGCGCAGCCGAGCCACAGTCGATTTCGTAATTTATAGACGTATCAATTAAATGTTATTTTATTGTTCTTGCTGTACCAATGAATAGATTAGAATAAAAAAAAAATGCTTCATTTGTGTTCTATAATACTTTATTTTTTTAGCCGTATAACGTATACGGCTCCCGGCCACAAGCAATTGCTATTTTAACAAGATACTTTGGGGTACATTTAATCTATTGATTGGTAAAGCAAGAACAATAAAGGAACATTTAATTGATACGTCTATAAATTACGAAATCGACCGTCGGCCACAGTGGTTACCCCGCAACACACACTGTAAAAGACTGGAGGTAGCTACGTTTCTATGCAAAATTTGTCAAAAAACATTGATTGCTGTTAACATATATTATTACATCGTTTGTTTTTATGTATATCCATCAAATACACTAGCCTTTTTTATAAGTAGACGTTTGTCATTTTTATTTAATAGACCATATTTAAAACCCCCAATATCTATTGGACCAACACACATATTATATTTACCATTTGGAACGAGATTATACTAAATAGTGGTAGAATTAAGTTGTCTATTTGTTTAGTTCTTGCCTCGACCAAGCCCGTTATTATTGCAGCTATTATAATCCGTAACAGCGCGTTGTCCACGTATAATAGTCCTGTTGAAAGCAAAATCAAATGAATAAATATGTATTTGTATTTACTAATTCATATTTTTAAGTAAGTAACTTTCATGTTATTTTTGTGTTTAAAAACAAAGTAAGCAATTTTTATTGCTTTTTATCAAATAAGTTAAGTTACCAGTAGCCCAATACTTCCCACCTTTGGGAGAGGGTGCATCAAATGGGCATTAACGACAATAAACAATGTCAATGAGTTTTAGGATCCGTCTGTTCGATAACCACCTATCCTATTCCATAACAACATGACTGAGCTAGAAAATAAGTTTTGTAGCTAAATACAAACTAGTTTTAAGAAAGCCAGAAAGGCCTTCAATACTTTTTTTTTATTGGATTGGATTTTATTGCTGAATATTTAACAAAACAGATTGTTGCTACGAGTATTGTGTTGATCTATGAATTTAGAGTCTAAGATGATTTCAAATATATTTTTTCACATTCGAAAACCTCATTAATGACACAAGGCGAGTTCATGTTTTAGTTTTTGTTTTCTTGTTAACTTGTAATAAATCTGTTAAAAAATAAATTAGAAATAAGTAGTATCAGAGACTAAGCAATGTTGATTCATTAGAACAACTAAGAGAAATTCATATGATGTTTTAACAACACAACTTACCAAATAACTCCAGAAGGTACACTGTCATTATTTGTGATAAAATATTAAATATAGTACCCTCGAATGTTTTGACACCACCTGAAAAATTATACAAAAATATTTTTGAACAACAAACATAAATAAAAAACATAAACGCCTAATGGTTTAATAGAATAAGGACTGGTATTGATTCACTTTTGTTGAAGCTTTATTTTTCATAATCTACTATTTTTAAATGTGATGATAACACATAAGTATTAAGACTGACAGAGGAGCATGTTACACTACACACTTATACTGCAGCGTAGAATCACCAAATCTCTACATTTTACAATCTAGTCCGAGTCCGAGAAAATAAAAAATGAAAAAATATAACTCACCAGACCACTTATTAAAGCCGTATTTGGATCCGAACCAACTGGCAGCGGTGTCTCCTATACCGAGGGATAGGACTCCGCTGAGTAACTCCAACTCGTACCCTTTGTGCACCGGTACTAATACTAACGGGCATGCCAGTCCTACATATAAATATATCGGTGTCATCGCGAAGTAACCTGTATCCTGTAAATAAAAAAAAAATACTAATCTACAGATGCAGAGATCTACACAGATTTTATGTGAGGCCATGGTATCAGTCCGGTGGAGCCGGCAAACAGCCACTTTGATGTAAGCTTAATAAAAAAATCAGAAAATAATTTAATTTTACTCAAAATTTATTCAGATATATTGTATTTAGATATATCATGGCAGGAGCTGGATGCGAGAAGCCTAAAATCGATCTAAGTGGTGTGCAATGGGAGAGGCCTATGTCCAGCAGTGGACTGCGACAGGCTGATAATGATGACGTCGCGTCGTGACGTCAGCACGAGAGTTAAGGGATTGGAAATAGTTAGAATAATACCTGTTTATCACTGTAGATTTTAAATGCTTCTTCCAAAACAGGTGTTACATGCTGAACATCTGCTTTACGTAATGCCTGTAAACAATGAGTAAGTGCACAATGAGGTATGATACAGAACAATAGTTTAGAATAAATATGAACATTAAATCGTATTATGTTTGAAACAAACAGTACTTAGAGATTTGTGGATATATGCAACTTCTTGACTCATAACCAGATCTTGAAATCAAATTTACCACAAGATTATACAAAGGCCGGTTGGGCCGGGAACTAATGCTATATAGCTTCCTAGATTGTAAATTAGGCAATCGGCTCGTAAACCCCAATGATGACAACACCTAAAGATAACGTCAAGTTGACGTCGTCAACGGATAATTAAAGACTAGGAATGGAAACCAAACTCCCTCAACAGTAAAATACGCATCCTGGGTGCGCAGGTGCATATAAAAAATAATAACTTGCTATGTTTCGCTCTGAATGGTTCCTGAAGTTGTTTTGCGCCAAAATGCCAAATTACGATTGCCACCCTTGATGACAAAGTCTCACTGTTGGATCACTTCCCAATTTGAGTCTCGTAATGCCTAAGTCAAGTCATTTGATTAGTTGTAACATTCTTCTAAGCATTCAGGCTTCCGACCTCGTAACTTATGAAAAGTTTATAGGGCTTGGAATTTCCGACAACAGCCAATTCAAGTTAGGTAGCCAGGTACGCGACCTTGGATCGATCTACTGCTTACATTCTCCAATACATTCTTAGCAACAATTCTCTTTCCTAACATTGATTTTCCCATTTTCCCCTCGGATATAAAGTGCATGGTTGTCGACAAAGGGCTTGATGGGACTAAAATTATAGTGAATTCAATACGCGTCTGTCAATCATTTGGGGGTGTAGGCGTGAGTGTATGTATAAGTATGTGTAAGTTATATTCTGGAATATACCTCCACTAATATAATAACTCCGAGTCCACATCCAGCAGCGAGTGTCATAAAATGTATATCAATAATGATTCCTGACAAAAATACCGCAGATGCTAGTATATGGAAGACCTTCCTCGTTGCCGTGTTCGCTTTTACCGCTAATTGCATACGCTTCATTATAGCTAATGCAGCTAAGCCTGCCAAGCTTGCCCAGAAGAAAAATAATTGCAGCTGAAAAAATATATTTTCCGTATTAAATATAAGCAATATTATATTTTATTTGTAGGTATTCTATTTTATATTGTATTAGCTTTCATCCAAATCTGTTCTGCGGTTCGTAGTTTTATGATTTAGAGATTGAGCTTCTGCTGATTTTCGTTACTAGAAACAGTCAGACTAAGCCTATTTCAAAATATTTAGTAACCATTATATTACAATTCTTACTATTAAATAACAATGCTGGGTATTCTACTATAACTGACTGTGCAACTGCTAAGAATGACTTAAGAATGAGTTATCTCATATTGTTTTAGATAATGAATCTCCATCCAGCTATGAACGAATAAGGGTAAAAAGGAAGATATGATGATTTAAGACATTAATTAAAACAATAATAATATACTCACTCTTGTTATATTCAGTACTATATAACTTGTAATTGTAATTAAGCAATCAATTCCTACAAAGCCATGCAGCATTACAAGTGCATAGACTCCGGTAACACTTGTTACGTAACATAACGTTTGTAATGTTCTCTGTTCATCTTCCATTAAAATTAACGCTGTAACAATAATTCCCACTGATGATAATACTGTCTGAAATAGGCAATATATAGTTGTGGCAGATTTGTGAAATTCATTTTAAGATTACTGAAGAAACTAATTGACTACTAAACAAACAGAAGTGTACTCAACAGTCATTAATTTATTTTTTTAAATTCAGTTTTAATTAATCAGTAGGTACTTAATTTCAGAATTACAACTAGAAGGGACTACAAGGGCAGCAACGCGATTGTGACTTTTGAGTAGCAGGTGCCCATGGGCGGCGGTAGTTGCTTACCATCAGGTGACCCGTCTGCTCGTTTGCCCCCTTATACCATAAAAAAAAAGGTTGTACCTACTGTGAAAATGATTATTTACTTTTGATTTTATAAATTTCAGGACTGTTAAATGTGAAGAACATTGTTTCTCAAATTAAAAAAATACTATTAAATTATTATTAAATAAACACTGGGTAGTGATTTAAGCTTTTACTAACACATACAAGAATACACTATAAATAATGTTTGTATTATTCAACAATCAATAATTATATGTAAATAAAACGAAAGTAGTACTAGTACATAGATAACACATACTTACTAGTACATAGATAACTAATAATTTACTGCTATATATTTTCGTTTTATTTACATTCAAAAAATATATTTCAATATCGGTATCGATATCGGTTAATGTGACGTGATAATAGACTATAATTAAAGTCAAAATATCTATATTTCATTAAAAATTAAAAATTATTTGAAATCGCGAAATGTAGACTCCAAAGTCATAGATCATCAATATGAAGTCAATCAATCAACAAGATTATAATATGCCTGTGCCGATCTATAACCGCTAGTTGCCCGTTGAGGGGAATTACATGGATCAAAGATGATTTAAAATACACTTACCATAACAACATTAAAAACAAAGTCCATCTCTTTGTCACTTCTATCCCCACTATCGTAATAGTACAACCTTGTAAAAGTCATTATTAAAAATAGCATTATACTTTGTACAACAACCATAGCCTCTCCGATAGTAAATGTTTTTGGGAACCGTGTCAGTGTAAGTTTCAATAATTCATTGAACATTAGTACTGCTGTCATAGAATATATGAAAGAAAACATTAATCCTGTAACAAATAAACATGATTTTATATTTATATAATGATTTTCTAGTTAAGCGACTCTTCTGACATGGGAGAGCCAAGTTTCAGCAAAAACGTGCCGGCTGAACCGGAATGATACCATGACCTCACTGAACACCAGAGGGCCGAATGGTCGCGTCGGTGACCAAGTTCGGCAAATGAAATATCGGTCCGCAATGAAATATCCAACAATCGCAAATCGCTAAATGCGCTCGCCGTCGAGAGTGAGTCGATGTGAAATAAACTTGCACTCAGCAAGGGCTGAGTTCACTTAAGGGGTTTCAACTAAGAGAATGCTTAATACTGAGGAGTATTAAGCATTTTCTTAGTTGAAACCGCTTAAGTGAAGTTATATTCTGGGGGGTGGTATACAAACGGCAGCAATGTACTCCTGACTCTTGAGTTGCAGTTTTAAATGGGCGACGATAGTCACTTACCATCAGGTGACTCGTTTCTATTATAAAGAAAAATAAAGTATGAAACATAATACATTACATCTACTCACAAAAATATTTTAGTGGGTTATAAAGATATCTTTTAGAAACATAGTTTTTAAGAGAAAGACTTACTCATATGTAAAAAAAATTTGAAATATCTAATAGGAATTGGTTCAGCCTTGAGATAAATTGCAGTTTGCTACTGTAGAGAAAAATTATTATCAATATTTGTTTCTGAGTTTAGTTCAGCATCAGCTTATTGGCTGCTGGACATAGGCCTCTCCCATTGCATGCCATTTAGATTAGATTAGTTTAGTTGTTTTTCATGTATTATATATACATATATGTATTTACAAAAAACCAACATAATCTATCTGCTTAGTTTGAAACTAGATGGCATTATGTGCCAGATGTTCAAAATATCATATTATTTATGAGGTGGTCATATTTTCTTTACAATTTAATATTTTATTATTTATTTATTAATATTTTTATTATTACTCATTATCTTGAATTGAATGTGTTGAAAATGTGAAAAATAATAATAATAATGTCATTTTGTCAAGAATATGGTTTAATATGGATTTTAGTCATAATAAGCAGGTACAATATATTGTACTTGGTGAGTGAAAATATTATTGTCTATTTACTAAGAAGAGATACACAAAAGAACAACCGTTTCCATTTCTATCTCATACTTTGATGTTACAGCATAATGATATAAATTAGACATTCTCATTTCTTTTTGGTGTTTTAATAATTATAAAAATAAATTATGTTTCATCATCATCATCAACAGCCTTCAATACTAGGTTTTGGCCTACTATTCCACGCTGGCAGGTTGGTACAGCGTTTGTTTCAAGTTCGTAGTTCACACTTTTATTTAAAATTATAAATAATATTGATACAGATTGATTTATGTTTCTAGAAATTAAATGTTAATCATAAGATAAGGGAAACATTGAAGAGTGACCTTTGGAACTATTAAGTATTGCTTCAATCCTTTACACACTTTCAAGACTTAAACATTTAATATTACTATCCCTATAATATGTCTAGTTAAGTAGTAATTTTGAGTAAACAATTACACACAAAAACAAAACTTGTACTACACATACCTATTAAAAACTAAAAAAATAGGCTTCTCAAAACTTACCTTGATCCAAAAATGTGTACATTAATAACGTTGACACAGTACCAGATGCCCAACATCCACCATAAAAATTTTCTTTTAACACTAAACATGATACACTCATGAAAACAATAAATAATAGACAATAGAATAAATATCCAATGGCTATGCATGTCCCCAAGTTGTATAGTAGGGAAACTTTATACTGTATGGAATACAGGAGCAAAATTGTAGGCAGGAGTAAACAGCACCAAAGGCCATTTGTACTAGCAGGTCTGAAAAAAATAATTAGACTTAGGCAAAAAGCAGTCAGTAACATGGAGGTTTATAATAATTAATATTCTTATAGTAGTCAATTAAAAAGGAAGTTTCAAAAGATTACACGATAAAGTGCATTACCTCATTTCTATCAAGTCATTTCTTAAATTTCTTGATATATGTTTATCGAAATCATTTATTAGTCGATAAAATTTAGAGTCAATTACACTGTAATATATTTCATCCAATTTTGATTTTATTGTCATTTTTGGGATGTTTTAATGGTTTAGGAACACTAAGGACTTTTATCACGACCACACTACAGTCAAATACTACGACATTCACCACATTCATAGATCACTCACGACGGTCGACAACCAAAACACAGTAATAGACTTGACGTAGTTGACGTTAACATTGACAGTAAAATAAAGTGGTATATCGAGCAAAATGCTTGTAGATGAAACCACATAGCCGATTAGACATATTACTCTTTACCTTAACATAATTTATAGTCTGTCAAGAAAGTCATGAAATTAATGTTTGTGGAACTAAAACTTCGGCAACAATTGGCAACACTCATTGTCTGCCAAACTAAGTAGTTCAGCTGTCAGCTTCGTTGTTTTGTTGTACAAATTTGTTTTTTTTTTGGTTTTCATGGAGTTTATTTTTATCCAGTTACAGTTTGGAGATAAAAAATTAATCGAAATACTTATAAGAGTGGTGCGAGACAGGTTGTATTCAATGGTTTTCAAGAGTGTATGACCGAATTTCAAGCGGGAAAATTTTGTTCCGATTTGGACGATGTTTACGGTCGAACAGCAAAATTAACCGGTACGTAAGTTTATCCTTATGTTAAACACGGTATAGGAAGTGCATATCTTGTATTAATTATTTGTTTTTATACAAATTTATCTATTTTTAAACATTGTTTTCTTTTTGTAAAGTTTATGTTATTTACCTACGAATTGTACTTCAACGCAAACATTCTTGATCCATTCTGTATTAATTATAGTTAATTATGAAAAATAATTTTTATGGTATGGTGGTTTCAGGTATTTCCGTAAGCACAGTTCGTCGTATAGTGGATGAAGGCTTCAAGAATGAAGGAAAATTAGTAACGCCTGGAAAACATAGACAAGGCCGGCCAAAAAAACAAATTTATGATTTTGATTTATGTGCGATTCGCCAAAAGGTTATTTTTTTTTACACAGTGCAGAAAGAAGTACCTACGCTTAGGAAATTACTGGCAGTTGTGAAGGCAGACTTAAATTTTGATGGCAGCCATGAATTTCTAAGGCAAATTTTAATATCGATTGGCTTTAAATTTTAAAAATGCCAATCAAACAGACAAGCTTTAATCGAAAAACCTGCAATTGCTTCAAAACGCGAGTTATATTTGAAGCAGATCCTTGATAACCGAAGATTGCTTGAGGAGCTCCAAAAAAATATAATTTATTTATATGAGAGCTATATACATGAGTCGTACAAGGTCACTAAATGTTGGCAATCTATGAATATTGCTGGTGTCGAGCAAAATATTGGCAAAGGTAAGAGATGGATAATTGTGCATGCCAGCAGTGACAAAGGTTTTGTGCCTAATGCACTTCTAATATTTACGGGCAAAAATAAACAAGAGGATTACCACTCTGAGATGAATGCCCAAAATTTCACTAAATGGGTAACAGAAAAATTAATACCCAATTTGCATGAACCCTCAATTATTGTTATGGACAATGCACCATACCATTCCGTAATAACAAACAGGGTATTATAAATTTGTAATATTTCTTAATTTTTATACTTCCCTTTTTATTAAGATTTGTTAAAAATAATGAACTATTTTTTGACTATATATTATGGTATGTGACTGTTATAATTTGTTTACTTCTTTGTTGTAGGCTCCTACAAATGCTTCTTAAATAAAATTAAATTATGGTTACTGGAAAATAACATTCCATTTGATGAATTGTTACGAAAGCCATCTTTATTAATGCTTGTAAAAAAACACAAACCTGAACCGGTGTACCATATTGATGGTCTTCTAGGAGATCATGGGCATACAGTGATAAGACTGCCACCTTACCACTGCGACCTGAATCCTATAGAACTAGTTTGGGCAATGGTAAAAACACGAATTGCGCAAAAGAATGTTGGTGGTCAGAATGTTGCGAAATTGGCTGAAGAAGCATTCCAGTCGGTAACACCACAAGAATGGAAGAATTGTGTTGAGCATGTAAAAAGCATTGAAAAAGAATATTTTACCCGTGGAAGAACTCTGTACAATGAGATAGACAGACTTATTGTATCTGTATGTGATGATAGTTCCAGTGATTCTGAAGAGGTAGAAGTGGACTGAATAAATTATACAGGAGTTTCCGGGAACATTTCGGGTGTTGATTACCTTGATTCAGACTGGGATGAATAAATCAGTATAAAAAATATATATAATTATAATACTTACATCTTTTATTTTCATTTTAACACCATGTGACTGTCTGGCTTACATACATATTCATACATACATACATACATATATTCATACATACTGCCTGTGTTGGTGTATTTGTCTAGCTGAATACAAGTTATCTTTAGCTACGAAAATGTAATAGCCCTTCTGTATCACTAAATAAGGCTAAGCAGGTAGTTCTGTACTTTCTCATTCCACTGTGTTAAATTAAGTGTAAAAATGTTTAATAAACACACTTTCAAAATAGCACTTAGAGCTATTTCAGCTCTTTTTAAAGTGATTTTGTTACCCCCCAGGAAGATATAAGATAAGTGGGAGAGCACAAGCCAGGGAAGTATATTTGGATTTTAAGAGAGAAATAAGCTTGAAATAAATAATTTTGAGCAAACGAGCACTTAACACTTTAATTTGTCCTACAAAATCAAGACGTTTATAATGAATAAATATTTACAGTCATAAACCCTACGCGGGTTTATACAGGGATTCTGGCAAAATAAAATAATATATTGTTTTATAAAAAAAAGTATCTACATCTTTTAGTCAAAGTACACAGGGATACCAGATATAACAGCAGTGGCGCCCTCCATTTTTCTCATGACTTTCTTGACAGACTATAGTTGTTGGCTCCTAAATATAAAAATTCAAATTAGTCATGATTTTTAGTAGTATTATTACATTTAAATATCTATTTAGGACTTATTTCTGTGTTATGTTATACTTGTGCAATGTGCAATTAAATCTGAATAATCTAATTGAACCTAAATTATTGTGATTGTGGGCTTCAGCATAGTCTATGATCTTATGTCTTCGTGTTTAGTGGTAACACATTTGCAGATTTGTTTCTAAAAAAAACTACCTTTTAGAGTAATATAAAAAATACGAAAATATTGTAGTCTGACATTTAAATCGACCCTTCAACGTCTCATTAAAGTGTTCCGAAATATGGCGAGAATTGTTGCCAAGTTGGGAAACTTCCTTACAATATAGGGTCATTGTATTCTATAGAGTATGAAGGAAACTATAAGCACATTCTTTACTGTGTTGAATGTAACCTCACAGAAACTCAGATATTTCTTAATGTAAAACATCTAATGCCAGCTGTTGGCGTGATTACGAGTAGCCACGGCATGAGTCACCAGGATATGTGATAATGTGTGAATTGCGAGGTGGCGACGCTGATTATCAAAGTGATTTAATACTCACTATTTCCACAAAATAATTTTCAACGTTTAAAATCTGCCAGACCTCCCTCCTCCTCCCTATTTTTGTAGTGATTATGGGGAAGGAGAAAAAGGTGTAAAATTTACGCACCTAACCACACTGGTCTCAGATCGTCAGATCGGAAATCTTATTAGAATCTACTAAGTACTCGGTTTTATCACTGAACTGGTGCGTGATATACTGTATAAAATCAAAACCATAAATAATACTCATAGTAGTTTGTACTTACACGCAGAATACGTAGGATGTTAAGACAAATTAGCAAAGTTATTCAGCACGGTGCTAGATACAGCACAGCTGCACCGGCACCGCAAACAAATCCAGAAATTTTATACACCGGGGTACGTATTTATTAACTTACTTTTTGTCATTCAATTCACTACTATTAGAATAAAAGAAGAAGAAAGAATATTCTTATTAATTAATTCTTATTATTCTACCTGCATAGTTTTTATCTTTGATGCCTATTTTACCTTGATTTGATATTTAATTATGTACCTACCACTATGTTTGAACAATAAAATATGTGCTATGCTATGTCTACTTGCGAAATAGAATAAAAAAATAAATATGTAAATTCCGTCGTAAATAAATTTAAATCCATTGTTCTGTAACATTTCATTAGAGCTGTGAGCAAGACAATTGTTTTTTTTTTAAGATTTTACAGTTACATATTTCAATGACCTAATTGTTTCACCGCTGTATCAATATCTCAATTGAAGACATAAATCATTTAATGAATTCTTTTAGAAAATTACATAAATTTAATATTTTAATTTAATTTAAATAAATAAATGTTAGAAATGCAAAAAAAATTATATATATTTAATTTTTGTAGATATTCATAAATAATGAGTGGGTGAAGTCTGCTGATGGCAAGACTTTCAAGACAGAAAACCCATCCACAGGAGAGGTAATTGCTGAAGTCCAGCAAGCTGGGCAAGTGGATGTGAACAATGCTGTCAAAGCTGCAAAGGATGCTTTCAAGTATTAAAACTTTTTTTAACTATAAAGCCTTGAAAAAAAATTCTATTCAAGTGGTGAACGGGCCCAAGGGCTCCCTTTATATTACACAGCTCATCATTATCTTGAGAGCTCAATTTCATTAAGGAAATAACAACTATGATAATATAATTTCTGATTACCCAATTGTTGTCAAGTAGGTGATCACAAATTAAGGAAGAGAATTATAAAAAATATACCAACCCCAAAGAATAGTGGTTTTGGGAGTAGAGTTTTAGACAATGCTCCTCAATGTTCTCACGAGCTTGAAGAAATTCTGTAAAAGGTCTTTAAACCTTAACCGAAGCTTGAAATTACTTTCTTATAAGGGTTGAAGTTTAGAAAATGCATTTTATTTTGATACTTTTTGGGTGCCGTACCTAAAGGGTAAAACGGGACCCTATTACTAAGACTCCGCCGTCCGTCCGTCTGTCACCAGGCTGTTTCTCATGAACCTTAATAGTTAGACAGTCGAAATTTTCATAGAAGATATATTTTTGTTGCCTCTACAACAACAAATACTGAAAAGAGAATAAAATAAAATTTAAGGGGGACTCCAATACTACAAACGTGATTTTTTTGCCGGTTTTATAGATAATGGTACGGAACCCTTCGTGCGCAAGTCAGACTCGTACTTGGTCGGTTTTTTTACATTAGTTTCGAACCTTGCCTCAAACGCCTATTCTAGATATACGTTCTCTATATTCGCTGGCAATTTACGTAATATTGAAATATTGGCCATTTACTGAAATCGTCTGCCTTTTGAGTAGTTACCATTACTATATATTTTTTTAACAACACAGGCTTGGTTCCCCATGGAGGACGATGGATGCGTCGGAGCGTGGTTACCTGATCAACAAACTTGCCGACCTGATTGAGAGAGACAGGACCTATTTAGCGGTTAGTTTCTAACTAATAGTATTTTTTTACGTTTATTTTTGGTGATATCATTCAATAATAAACTATATTGTTCACTCCTTAATTTTCTACTCCTAGGATGTGGAGTTTTTTTTAATTATTTGTACAGGACCAAACCGGCAGTATACCTATGAGTATAAATAAAGACTTCGAAATCGACTTCGTATGAATGAAAAAAAAGTAAAAAAAGAGTTGAATTAAGTAAGGTACCTAAGTACCTTTTTCATTTTCATTCAGCTAAAAAGAGTTAAAGACAATAATTTAAACAAACTTTTTTCCGAGTCCGGTTGGTAATATAGCGGGTCCATTTTATCGCCTAGATCAAAATGAGATATCCCGTGGTACGCACCTTTATAAGTTTGATAAATGTTTTATAATTAGAACTATAGGTATATTCATTTATTATTTATTACATAAACTTGTTATACTTGTGATAGGAATGTGTGTACAGCATGTTACAAAAATAATAAAATGTTGATCATTGTGAAAAAATCCCGATGCTTGACCTACTTGGAGTGTTTTTACAAAACAGCATACACAAACACTTGTAAAAGTTAAGATTATTTTAGTTGCGATATTGTTTATTCTCGAGGAAAATACTTAGACTATTTTGTACGCACGATAGTTAAAAACAAGTTGTAAACCACATTGCTAAAAGTGCAATGGCTTTTAGTTGCACATAATATGCTAGATACTGGAATGTATGTAGCTAAAATATATATAAGTATATTTGTGCATTCTTGTATTTATAGCTGCTTCCTGTTAGGTTTATGTTCTTCTACACTGTAAATTATAGTGTTAATTGTTTAATTGAATGAGAAAACGCGGAGCTGATAGGATGATATGTAGTAATATTTAAGCATTATATGTGTAAATAAATCACATAATTTTGAACGGCGTAGTGAAAGTTCATAAAAGACGTTTGTTCTAGAGTCTGGAAACTCTGGACAATGGGAAACCCTATTCGGCCTCATACTATGCCGACGTGCCAGCTTCTATCAAAAATTTCCGGTACTACGCCGGCTGGGCTGATAAGAATCATGGAAAGGTACTCCCCGCTGATGGAAAATACGTCGCATATACTCGCCACGAACCCGTCGGTAAGTGATACACGAATTTATAGTACCTACTTAATAATATTAAATAGAAAAGTATCCTTAATAATCAATGATTGTATTATAATTTGTGACGTAGTAGTTAAATTATTAGATTTATGGTAATTGTTTCTAAACATACAATTCTTAAAAAAATCAACACAAATTCTTTTATTTACTTATTTACGAATCGCATGGTGCAAGAGCAAAAGTGTTTATCCAACGAAGAGCGACTTGAGCGTACTCTTTCCTAAAAGGTCAGCAACGCGTTTGTGACTCCTGAGTTGCAGACGTTCATGGGCGGCGATGGTTACTTTCCATCAGGTGACCCGTCTGCTCGTTTGCCCCTCTAACATAAAAAAAAAATACCTTTAGCAAAATATGCATACAATAATAATTAGTATAAATAAAAACCCTTAATTTATCCTATCATAACAGCGTTGTGTCATGATCTGGTCAGGATCATTCGTAAAAAAGGCACCTGTTTATAACAGTGCAGTTTTGGGACTGCAACTTTTTCAGTTTGTTTGTTTTGTTGCGGAAGTAAAAATAACTCGACTTCCGCTAAATTTTTTGCTGTAATATTTGTATCAATTAGATGATTAGACTATCTGAAACTTGGCATCTTGATATTTAAATATTTTATATGTTTACTTAAAATTGAACACACTGTATACAAGTACTTACATAATATTAAAAACGAATGTCTTCCAAATACTTGAATAGATCACGAACACCAAAAACTCGTTTTTGTTTGATTTCCTTTTTTTTTTGTCGATTTTAAATGAAAAAAATACTCGTTTGTGGTTAATACCAAAAGTAATTGCTAAAATTATGTAAATTGTTCTTGTAAATATCTTTTACCACAGACCGCCTTAACAGAGACGCGAACGTCTATAAGCCGGCGGTCTTTGTCATATGATCAGGGTCACATCACACAGGATTCTCTTTTATTATGTCGAAACACCGTTTTTCTAACCTCATGGCAATTGTTTCGTTTTTTAATTTTAAATATTTAAAAAAAAACGAAATCTAATAGTATGAGATGACAACCTCAATCTGTATCTCCTTTATTCAAATGTTCTGTTCAGATAAATGCTAAAATATTTTTGAAAAGTAGCTCTAGGAATTACATTAAGTTCCATAATTTAAATAATTAAAGAGCTATAAACTAGCTCATTTCTTAAACCTGAGAGGTTAGGCGTGATAAACAATGGGCCCGAGGATTTATAAATGACAGTTGCAGCATTATTAACACATACTTATATCAAGTAGAAATGTTACTAAACTTAGAAAAAAAGATATGACAAGAGATGATTCCCATGCAGTATTCATGAATATGTATGTCTTTTTGCATTGGTTTTAGAATACTTATATTTTAAAGGGTTAAAAAACTCCAATACAAGTAGTGTATATTTGGGTCTAGATCGCGTAATGTATTTATGAACCGGAACATTATTATCCTGTTAAAAACAAAACATATGCCTATGTAAAATACATATACCTACTAAAAATATTGCAGATTTTCTGCCGCAAAAAGTTTATTATAATAAAATAACCGTATCAGATATTTGTTTAAAAAAAGAATGGCTTGGCAATCACTACAGAATCTACACTTTATTTTATAAGTTTATCGTTTCGTTATTATTTTTTATGAATGCATAAATCTGATCCGCACTATTCCATTTTCGTATGGCAAAATAATCATAAATGGACGTAAATATTACCGTATGAAGGTTTGGAAATCGTATCACGGATACACGTCCGGACTGATATGGTTTCCAAACCTTCAATAAAAGAGAGCACTAGAGAGCCTCAAAGGCCGCCAACGCTCATATGACTCCTGAGTTGAAGGTCTCCAAGGGTGGCAGAAGTCATTTCCCATGGTGACCCATGTGCTATTTTTTTTCATTTTTATTTTAATGAAATAGTTGACGGTATACCCACTATCTCATAAAAAAGAAATCTAACTGTCGCCAATGACCCGAGATGAACATATCAGAAACCGGTAGGTTATCGATTTTAAATAAAGAGTAACCAAGATAAGCCAAACTTTGTTGGTTATATAACGTTAGAATCCATCTCTAAACTACGAAACATGAATTTCATAATTAAGATTTTAGATCCTTGTCAAGGTTTGGTTCAACATATGTGGGATTTCCTTCGCTGTGTGGCGTTAGAGTCATATAATAATTATATGCAAATAACAAAAAATGTATTAAAACAAAAAAATATTAATAAAAGATTAATCTTCATCTTCACAGATTGTTATTGAATTTTAATGATTTTACAGGCAATTATAGGTATATCTGGAGAATAATGCCATAAAGATTTGGATACAAAATAACTATTGAAAGTTTCCTTGATTAGTCAGACGTATTGCTGACGGTTTACCATATTTATAAAATACCATCTTTTGCCCGCGTCTCCGCCCTTCTATTCATTTTTATTGTTTCGTCTAGAATTTATAGAAAATACACAACATAAAGAGCTGAATGTATTTCTACTTAAACGCCATAACTCTCTTCAGCAATATTTCCATTTATTTAAAATCATTGTGATTGGCTCTTATTACATCGCCTCATTAACAACGTTTTCTTTCTACTACTCTTAAACTTATTTTAATTTGGTGCCTGATACTAGGCCAAATGCAGTTTCATATTTGGTTTAACATATAAATGTAAAATGACTTTCATGACCTTATCATTTATTCAAATAGCTATATCGCTATTACATAACCACATAGTATCACATAAAAGAGTCTACGGTGATAGTTTAGATAATAATAAAGTAAAAACATCGAAATCCAACTTCTTATCAATGTGTTATAAATATGTAAAATAGTAATTTACAGAAAACAATTGTAAAAAATGGTATTGTATATTAATTAACAGAACAATATGTCAGTACTAGTGATGTGCCGTATATCCGTATCAGTATCCGTATCCGCGGATATCCAAGGGAGAAGAGAGATCCGTAACCGTATCCGTATCCGTGACTTTTTTGGCGGATCTTTCAATACATATTACATAGATGAAATTCTATATAGGTGATTTTGTATTCACTGTAAAACTCTTAGGTATGTGTTTGTAACACTATAAACAACAACTTTTTTTCTGGCCAACCTCAAAATGAAAAAAAATTGGTCCTCCATTCAAATGACCAATCAAATGTTGTTAGTTTGTATGGAGAAACAATTTTTTTTCTTTCGTTTTCGGTGTTAGTCCAGAAGAAAAGTTGTTGTTTATAATGTTACTAAAATGCACTTCAGAGGTTTTCAGTAAATTTAAAATAACCCTGAATAATGGTTATTAGGTAGCTATGAAAAACTATTGAATTCTGTTCAGATTACTTTTTATTTCTTAAAACAAATATTTGGCACCTTTGTATTGCAATCATTTATCGTACTATACTAAATCAACTAGGCAGGTCGTAGGTACTGAAAGAGCTATCTTTATAATGAGATCAATCAAACATCTTTGTATTAGCTTATTAAAATAATGAAATATTTAAATATCAACGGCAAAGCGTCAAGTGGCGACAACTATCAAGGTCACGGGCTCCGATTGAGTAAGAAACTTAAGATCCGTATCCGTATCCGCGGATCTGGACACCAAATATCCGTATTCAGTCCGTTTAGTCAGTACAGACAAATCATGGTCAGGTATCAAGGCTAAGTAGTACTATTACACCGTGTTGCCACGTTAAAATCGATAGATAAAACTTGTTAAAGTAAGTTAAGTTAAGTTAAGTACATTAGGAAAAGTGACAAAATAATAATAATAAAAAAACATATCTGACTACTACAACATGCTCATTATGTGTAAATGTTGGTGCTTATTGAATACAAATACAGTTTCAGACTCTGACGGGCACAACATAGTTTTAGATAATAAAGTAGTAAGAGATGGCGTAGTGGTTTAAGCGGTAGTACTACTACTACACGTTGTGTGATCCACATGGTTGTTGTTAGAAAAGTGAGTCTGGGTGTTAGAAAAGTACCGGAACAGCAGAATGATTCGCTAGGGATGAATTATATAATATTAATAAGTTAAACACAAAACTTAAAAAAAAGCTGACCTTGATCATAACCTTTGAAGGTTATCTCAAGTTTCAAGGCCAGTTTTCGAATGGGATTGCATATTATTGAGCCCGGATCTGACCTTCAGCAAATTTTGACCGCTAAAGGTCACCAATCCAAGGTCAAACTCACACGTTTAGAGGTGAAATATGTTTGTAAAGTTACACGCGACACAGGATATATTCCTAATGCGTGAGTTGTCTTCTATCAGAAGAGAAGAAGAAGATTTATTTCTCTCTCTCTTTCTTAAGATTTTCTCTAATATTCCACGTAGTCGACTCTGGTGATATGTGCTTCTTTGACCTGAATGCGTATCTGCTCAATAAGCTTGACCGTCTTCTCAATAATTGCATTCGATTCGTTTTCAATTTATTTAATATGATTACCTGTCTCAGTATCGCTCCCATTTCAATTCGCTTCCAATTCGCCAACGCAGACAGATACGAGCATTAACTACCCTATATTCTTTACTCTTTTCTCTAAGACCTCACTTGTCAAAATTAAAATTTACGTGCAAACCACGCTAAAAACCTCAGATCTTCAGACAACCTAGTTCTTCTTCTTCTGCCGAGATCAGGATGACAAAAACTTGGCAACCTTTAAAATACACAGTTTTAAAAACTATCAGATCCACGTTAATTTTATACTCTCTCCTTCTAGAATTTATATTAAATTATTCTAATGTAATTTATATAAATTACTTACTTACTAATTACTCCGGGTATATGATATTCTATATATGCTATAGTTTTAATAAATAACATTTTTAATTTCTGTGCATCTACCACCTTAAGCTCTGCATCGCCCTAAGTTCGACTAGTAAAAAATGCTTACGGCCTTAAGTCCGTCTTTTCCACATTTGTGCAGAAAGATTTAATAAATAAATAATAATAAAGTCACCAGAGAGTCGCCACCCCTATTAATCCCGAGGGTGTCGTAAGAGTAGAGTAGGCCAAAACCTCCTTTGTAAGAAGAGCCCTATGTCCAGCAGTGGACTAGTAAAAGTTGATGATGTGTGATGTGAAATAAATATTTAACAAATATAGAATATATGTATGTATATTTTTATTAAACTTACAATTAGTCGTGAAGTCCATAATAATAATTGATGTTGTTTTTATAACTTATAACTTGTATTGATGAACTTGTTCTGAATAATCTATGTAAAATTGTACCCACAACTGTTTCACACTTTTAACAAGGTCATGTCGTTCTTATAACTTTATTATTAAGTACTTACCTCATACACACGTTGCGATAAGAATATCAAGTAGGTAAATATAATATTACAAACAGCTATGTATAAATAGCAAGTCATGTTGTCAATATACTCGTATTAATTCAATATTCAATGTTATTCTGTAATAGTTATAGAGCTCTGATAGAGCCTTCGCAACAATGGTAATTTTCTTTTGTTGACGGGGTTGAAAATCCCTTCGGGAACCCGGCTCTTTGGGGATACAAAAACCACCGCGACGGCCAGTCTCTGCCACCGTTCTCTGGAGAGGACTCTGAACATATGATTTCAGGCCCTCCAAATTGCAAGCTTCCTCTGTCTATCGGCCCAATCACCATAAATCTCATTGATGCTAAGCTTAAGTCTTAATTACCTACCAATCATGCTGTTGGTATTCTGGGGATCCTTAAACAATTTAATATACTTTAGTTGTAAATCATTACAACATAGACTTAGAAGTGTAATAATCCTAACTACTGATATTTTATTTTCCATTTATCTGCTTTCAAAGTTTATCGTTATTGCACACGAGGTGATGGAACAAATTCATTTTCTATAATTAAGATTGTCTTAAACCTAAGATTGTAGGGACCGGCCGTTTGTTAGATAGCTGTTAGTTATTATCTAATTATTTTAACAATTGTCAAAATAAGTATAACAACTAAGTAATTTACTCAGTTACGTACTTTGTTTAACAGGAGTATGCGGTCAGATTATACCATGGAACTTCCCCCTGCTCATGGCGGCGTGGAAGCTAGGACCCGCACTAGCCACCGGCTGCACGGTCGTCATGAAGCCCGCTGAACAGACACCGCTCACTGCCCTCTACATTGCTCAACTTGTCAAGGTGTTTTTTTTATTGTGTAGTTGTCGGAAAGTTGATATTAATGTTGAGCAGTCTCCAGGCTCTGTGATAGTGTGTCTATTTTTTGTTTTTAGTATATATTAAAGACTTACCTCACTTTGTCAAGGACAATCTCGAGATTTTGTTGTTTGCAGATGATATATCACTATTATTTAGACTAAAACGGACACCTACTAATTTCACAGACGTAAACAACGCCATTTCGAAAGTGGTTCATTGGTTTGACGTCAACAATTTGCTTTTAAATGAACAAAAAACTAAGTGTATACGTTTCACTATGCCAAACGTCAAGCCAGTGAAAACTAATGTGATGAACTGATGATTAAGGATATCGAGTTGGACCTTGTGGACACTACGATATTTTTAGGTATAACACTAGATTCTAAGCTACAGTGGGGCCCACATATTGATAAATTATCGAGTAGACTCAGCTCAGCAGCATACGGAGTAAGAAAAATTCGAGAGTTGACTGATGTTGATTAAGCACGACTTGTTTACTTCAGTGTTTTTCATAGCATAATGTCGCACGGTATTCTACTGTGGGGAAAGCTGCCGACATTCAAACTATTTTTGTGCTGCAAAAGAGAGCGATTCGAGCAATTTATAATATAGGCTATTGTTGTTCATTGAGGCAGAAATTAAAAGAAATAAATATAATGACAGTAGCAAGTCAATATATGTATATTTGAAAATGGAATATACGTTCATAAAAACAAGGATAAGTTTTCGAAAAGAGTTAGTTATGAACATTCTATAAATACCAGAAATAGAAATAAACTTGTAGTACCCGCCTCTAAGCACCAAAAGATAAACACCAACACCAAAGTCTTTTCGAGGTCAATGTTTCCGATTTTATAATAAAACCTCAAATAATATTCAAGACTTAAGTATTAACAAAATTTAAAACCGCAATAAAACGTAAATTATGTCAGAAAGCCTGTTACTCAAATGTGGATTACATAGAAGACAAAAATGCTGGGGTATAATTTAGTGCAGGCTTGAGTAAAAATGTGGCGTGTGCTAGTAATGGGCATTATTACTAATGAGATTTAATATAATTAATTAGGAACTTAGCATTTTATTTAATTCAATTAATAAGAGCAAATGAAAAACGATCGTTACTTGTAGGTATATCACTAAGTATTAATTTTATATAAATAACTTATTTTTATTGTATTTTAACTCACCGCGATTTTCGCTATCAAAAGTGGCTGCTATTTTATTTTCTTCAACATTATTACAGAAATAATGCAATATAGGGTTTGTTCGTCACTTAAAACTATCTATTTACAAAATATCCCTATCTATTCACAAAATACCTATTTACAACGTACACGTCACACTCTTCAAAACTTAAATTACCTATACCACTCTAATCAATTTTTTTATTAACAAATACTATATTATAGTAGTGATGGAAAAGTCTTCACACTCATATTTAATTGTAAATTCATAATTAGCATTTAGCAGTTAGCAGAGCAGTTGTTTAAAGTTGTTCATAGAATTGGTACCTATATAGTATTTGTTAATAAGAAGTTTAATTATAGAGTAGGTATAGGTAATTTAAGTTTTGAAGAGTGTGACACTCTTCAAAACTTAAATTACGACGTGTACGTGTTAATTCATAGATTCACGAAATTTCACGACTACAATTGATTTGCTAACTGCTAATTAAGAATTTACAATTAAATATGAGCGTGAAGACTAATTATTCCATCACTAGTGTGGGCTAGTGTGTTTTTTTTATAATCCAACTGCCAGAGATATTGACGTGTTATGTATATATTTGGCAATAGGAAGCTGGGTTCCCTCCTGGTGTGGTGAATATGCTGCCAGGCTTTGGTGACACGGGCGCTGCTATTGTCCAGCATCCTGATGTCAACAAAATCGCTTTCACTGGTAAGTCTAATAGGCAGGTTGACAAATTTTTGGAACTGCTTTTTTTGTAATTAGCTCCTTATTTTTTAAACAATATTTCATTTGATTGAAAATGAAAAATAGTTTTTAGTAGTAGAAAAATAGTAGTTTTTTTCCAAAAGTTGTCTCATTGCATTCAATTGCATTACAAACCCCTAGCTGACCGTTATCACATCAACTGTGTAAAGATCTATTTGAAATATTTACCCGGTTTATACATATGCTGACTTTGATATAATTCCATACCAAAAAGCATATATTTAAACTCAGTTTTTTTTATATTTAAATATTTTTTTACTTTCCAGGATCAACGGAAGTCGGCAAGTTGATTCAACGCGAAGTGTCTGGTACACTTAAGCGAGTCACGCTAGAGCTGGGCGGCAAGTCGCCCAACATCATCTTCGGTGATGTGGACCTGGAGAAGGCAGTTGAGGCCGCGCACTTCGCGCTCTTCTTTAACATGGGACAGTGCTGTTGTGCTGGTGAGTGTAGCATCTGTAACTCTGGACCACATTCAATTGAGAGCGACTGTAGTTGTTAAAAGCTGGAATATCTCACTCACATTATGAAGAGCGCCCAAAAAAATTGTTCCCACTTATACCGGATGCAGCTTTCCGCGTTTGTCGTTTAACGTGAAAAATGGTCCATCCCTATCACTTGGATAATTGGTACTCCACCAGAGTTTCGAGAATAAAACGTTTACGTGATATTATTGTATCTACACTTCTACATTAACACAAGGGTCCATGTTTATAAACTATTTTAGTTTGTAATGAATAATATGTTGAGAAGCATAATAAAATTTCAAGAAGAGACATTTTCGTAAGCCTATTAAACTAAAAATCCACCAATGTTATTGAAAAGAAGATCTAAAGTACAAACATATTATCCAGGATCCCGGACTTACGTGCACGAGTCTATATACGACAAGTTTGTGGAACTGTCGGTGGCTCGCGCCAAGCGACGAGTCGTTGGGGACCCCTTCAAGCCTGAAACAGAACAGGGACCACAGGTATATATCACATACCTGCTACACAATTGTCTCTGTTATTATTTTTATCGGATCTCTTAGATTTATGTTATTAACGCGGAAGCCGATAAAATAAAACTAAAACTAAATTAAAAGATGTGACACATTACAGGTAAATTGTGTATACATAGGTGAAAGATCTAAAGCTATTTTAGACATTTAAGGGGATAAAAATTGTTTCATCTGCACAATTATACACACAGCTCTGCGTTATCCAAAGACTGACTGGAAGAAAATGCCTATTGCATTAAGTCCGCCTTATGCAATGTATTGTAGGAAGTATACAATTATTTTGGTTTTTAGATTTTTAAAAGGAATTCCAAACAACTTTAAATACAAAATATGCTCTGAAATTACCACTTTTATTAAATACTATACAATACCCACTAAACAATGTGCGCTTTAATATAAATAGTTTCGTATAAGTAGTATCTTGGCAATGGGATTTTCAAAAGCTCTTTCTTATAGGATCTAATCCTAACAAATAGGTCCTTCAAATTTACTTTGAAAAGACCACTGGCTTAGGCTGTAAATTCAAAGTCAAGTCAAAGCCTTTTGTATATAAAAATAGGATAATAAAGATATGCTTCAGTAAGGTAATGTTTATGGGCAGGTCGACAGCGAACAGCAAAAGAAGATTTTAGAGCTGATCGAGAGCGGCAAGCGCCAGGGCGCCGCGCTCCTCGCGGGAGGGGGGGCCCTCGGCGACCGCGGGTACTTCGTGCAGCCCACCGTCTTCGGAAACGTTCAGGATGATATGGACATCGCTAAGTACGAGGTGCTTAACTACCAAATACCGTAGTTTACTGTTAAGCAAAAAATCTCTATATTAAACTACAAACGGTAGGTTCACGAGAAAATAAAAAAAACAACTTGTGACGTAACTCTTTGCTGTCAACTATTAACTTTCTAGTAATTTTGTTAAAACAGTTGGTAGTCGTATTTCATGTTTAGTAGTAAACCATCAATCATCATCAACAAACAGCCTTTAGTAGTCCACTGGCTGGACAAAGGCCTCTCATTAGAAAAGAGGTTTGGACCTACTATACCACGCTGGCCAGGCGGGTTGGTATAGGGTTTGTTTCAAGTTTTCCTTCTGCTGTTGTCCTGCGTAGTTTGCTCCCTTAGTCGACTCTTATGACATCTACGGGATGAATAGGAATGGTGACACGCCGTATTCTTAATCCTTTATCACACTGATTGGACCTAGAATAAATCGCCAAATATTTAAAAAATAATTAAGAAGTTTTTGTACATACCAGATATTCGGGCCAGTGCAGCAAATCATGAAGTTTTCGACGATCGACGAAGTAGTGGAGAGAGCCAACAACACCGACTACGGCCTCGCCGCCGCCGTCTTCACCAAGGACTTGGACCGAGCTAACGACATGATCCAGGTATGACAGCGATGTTCTATATTCACATCGTTCATCATTCCACTAATACAATATTACGATTTATACAATTCTTTTTTTTTACATTTTACTGTTGTCATAATTAGTGTTTTAAGACACTCTTTTATATAATATGTCTATAAACTTAATATAACTACATACTTTTTATATAGGTGTTTTTCTATCATTATTTATTTAGTTATTTGTTGTCATCGAAACTTAAAGCGAATGCAAAATTGCGTAATACGGATAACTGCTTTAAATTCAGTTGCAATGTTTGACTCAAACAAACATATAAAAGTTTATAAAATAAATAGGTCAATTATGCGCCCTTTTTTTAAGAAAGCGTAATAAGATTATTATTTAAAAATAATAGACATTAAACAATCGAATGTTTTTTTCTGCATTACAGAGACTGCGCGCCGGAACGGTGTGGGTGAACGATTACAACGTGTTCGCTCCGCAGGTTCCCTTCGGCGGCTACAAGCAGTCCGGCGTGGGGCGAGAGAACGGACCCTACGGCATCAAGAACTACACCGAAGTGAAGGCCGTCTATATCAAAGTGAATGAGAAAAACTCGTAAACACGATTATACTTAAATGCATACCAATACCATGAAAAAATAACTTTTTGACTGTCCTAACTTTTAAACTGTCGCGTTCCATATTATATGATTATCTTTACGGGGATTAACGCGCTCACGTAGTGATTAAGTCACTACACACTACTGCAGTGATTGACTGTCACTGTTTCTTATACGAGTATATATAATGTATATGTAACAAAAATGAGATGTATCTAAATACAATATTAATACTCAAAACCAATTTATATTTGCCATACTATAATTAAAATGAGCCATATTTTTAATAAAATATTTACCTAATATTGTTGTAAGCTTAACTTTGTTAGCCAGGTTTGTCTACAACCGAAGTAGATGAGTTAAAAATAAATACATACATTTAGTTTGTAACGGTTTGCAGAATTTAAAGAAGTTTGGGATTTCAGCTAAAACCTTTGCTTTTAAGATAAAAAATTATATTACTTGATTTTATGTGAAATTAATATTTTATATTTTTTAGAAATTATTATTGCACATGTAGCAGAGCAAAGAGTGTAGATTTCTACTGCATCATTTGATGTATTATGTAATAGCTTCTATTTCAATTTTCTTAGAATTAGAGATACATTAATACTCATAGGCATCAAATTTGAAATATAAAATTTATGACCCTTCCTTTGTCCATTGTAAGACCAGTAAAAAGTAAGCCGTTACTGAAAACATTTTGCAATTTACAGGTATTTTGGCATTAAAAGTTATATACGCAAAATAGCAGTCAAGTATATTTCTGTTGCAAACAATCCAAAATTGTTAAAATATATCATTTACAGCTATTCCTCTACAAGTCTACATGTAGACTTCATATTTTTTTTGAACTGTTTGCAATGTTCACAGATTTTTAAACAAATTGCGTCTTCCAGTTATAAGTAGGTGAGCATATCGATATTATTTTTGTATATATTTTACTAATAAAAGTTGCAATATGAAAAAAAATGTCTATTATTATACTCCTATAATAGCAATTATAAATTTTTAAATATAATAATCCATTTCCTTAAGCATTCCAAATTTCCAAAGCATATTCTGTAACCAGTGAGTGCTTAACGCAAAGTCAAAGTCTGGCTAATTTTCGTACTTGGTATAACTGACAACAGACCCAACCTAACTAATAACATAAGGGAAACTAAATTTATTTATTATCACAGCCAATCTTTTGCTTGGTTAAAAATGGGAACTAATTAGTTACTAATAGATTTCGGAAATAAATCACAAAACAAGTATTTACAATTATATTCGCTATTGCAAAATAGTGTCAAAATACTCGACGTTAAGGGCTCGTGAAGCGTGCAAGCAATGCAGCGACCAGGCACCAGAGGTGGATTGCATAGCTCAACTTTTGTGTTTTCTATTTTATTATATTAATGATGGATGCGGAAGAATTAATAGATGCAGTTCCTAACCGCCCGTGAATCTTCTTCTATTCTCTTGATGACCCAAGTACTATATCCATTTCCGCCCTTAATACTCTTCTTAACCAAACTAAGTATTTTCAGTGCTAACCCCAAATCAGTGACTAAATTAAGAATTGACATCGATTGGTTGCCAGTCGGTCATCGCTCGCCCGCACGCTTAACTGCATAGTTCGTAGCAGGAAGTCGCGCGGATCGCTGCACGAGCTTTTAGGCTATAGAATCAATAGAATGGCGGAAGGAGTCCTATCCCATTTACGAACATTGTTTTGCGATTTGTTAAATGATTTTATATTATTTATTAAAAAATAAAAATACTATGGCCTTATTCAAATAAAACCAAAGCTTGAATACAAAACTTTATTTTAACAGTTATATCTAAAATCAACCACATCACACGACTAAGTAACAATAGGAATTAAAATTGAAACGAAGTAATACAACATTTTATAAATCGAGTTACATTTTAGAAAATCAAAGACTGTAAAGGTGAATACCTAACACAGGGACTTAAATATCCTTTGGTATATTTAATACAATTTAAAAATGGAATTTAATAAAACAATAAAAAATTAAAGGTATTAACAGAACAAAATATAAAAAGGGAAAACCTTCAGAAGGTGCGACCTAATCTATAAATCACAACAGTGGAATGTTTAGGTGCCACTTATACTAAATCACATAGCCTTGCAATGTAACTACTAAAACACAATTAAAATATGTAATAATCTAAAATAAAAGAAAACCTATTAAAAATCTTTGGGTTTTCCAAATGCGAGTACAAATTGGACGGCAAAAAAGACATGATTAAGGTACACTGACAAAAGTGCAATATAAAATCTGAAAACATTGTACTTGACAAATTGGACATCACAATACAATCAGCAGAAAATATGCGGTAGATTACACCACACAAAGTTATGCAGTAATTTGTACTTATGGCTTCTTAGCGATAATTTAAACAAATTATTCTGGATCAACAGAATATATCACTCCTTGTCCATATCGTCATTCAAAAGAGAGAGATTCTCTTCAGATATCTTCTCCAGGCAACCGCACATAGTAGCGGATTTGTTGCTATTCGCGAGGTCTTCCTCAATCTTTCGCTCGATGAGCTCAAAATCGTCGTTCTCCACTTGACACTTCAAGCACTCGTCTGACGAAGAATCTTGGTAACAAAGAACATTTTCTATATTTACTTCTACCTCATCGCTCGTTGGCAACGAAGGGGTACTGACGCTTTTAGCTCGCGATTCGACACTCAACCTGGGCACGAATATTTCCGACTTCGGTCGTACTTTCTCCGGTGGTTTCATTCTACGGGCTAATATAGGGGTGGTTGCTCTTTTATCTTTAGGAAATATGCGTTGAATTCTCTCTTCGACGAGAGATATGCTCCGTTTGAAGACGACCGTGTCTTGGGTGTGATCGTGAATACACCCGTCGATAGCATCTCTTGACTCTGTGTCTGAGTTATCACATCTGAAGTATATTGTGTCGCAACCATTTTCTTGTTTCACTTTGATGAGACAACAATCGTCTTCCTTTTCACAAAGTATTTCATGCAAAGAACCGTGAAGTGGTATCAATTTCACTTTGCCGCTAAAATTATCTTGCATTGTCGATAGGTCGTCGTCTATGTACAAGTCCTCGGTACTTTTAGCTTCCTGCAAAATTACAAAAAAAAAGTATTAAAAATCATAAAAATGAAACCTATTTTGTTTTACAGTAAAAGAATCAGTAAAGAAGAGTAAGAAAAAATAAATTTAAAACAGTCATAACTTTTAACAGCAAAAAGCCAACGTCACGCGGTATTCCCAGGCGGTCCACCCATCCAAGTACTAACCGCGCCCGATGTTGCTTAACTTCGGTGATCGGACGAGAACCGGTGTGTTCAACATGGTATGGATGTTGACGACCACTGATTAAAAAATATGCTTAACTATATAATTAAAATGTGTATGCTGTCATTTCTGTGTAAACCTCAATTTAGGTACATTATTTTGCTAGTTTGTAGTAATATAATAGTATGTTGAAAAGAAAGGAGGAAATATCTTTGTATTTTCTGTCTTAGTAGCCTCGTTATTTACACACTACTTGTAGTTTTTGAGGAAAGAAGAGGTTTTTTTTTTTTTTTGACAAACTGGCAGGGCAAAGCATATACTTTAGACTCAAATTAATAAATTGAATAGTATATTAAATGACACATACCTGTAAAGCATTGAAAGCCTGGCATCTTTTCAAGGAGTTAACATGAACATCTTCAACGAGTGTGTCCTCCATAGATTGGTTAAGTTTTTCCTTTACACTGTTGTCACAAATAGTCACATTAACGCAGTTATCAAGCACCTGCAGACTGTTCTCTCCAGAGCGACTGAACGTGATCTGCAGCAAAGGTTTATTGTTCCCGTTGATTTTCACACGAGAAAACGACTTCACGGTGTCTTTTTTGGCTTTATCTTCGTTATTGTTTAAACTCTCTATTATGTTAGCGACACCTTTGTTTAAAATATCTTCGTTTTTAGTGGTCGCTGAGGTGACGGACGCCTCGTCCGACATTTCATTGATTAGATGTTGGAACTCTTTTCGAATTAAATCTTTGATAAATGACTCGATGCTTTTAGTGTCCGTCGATTGGTCTACTCTGAGTTCGTCTTTAGACGGTTCCGTAGATGTACTGTAAAATAATAAAAAAAAATGATTAAAGAATTTATGGAAACATTAATTATATTATTATCTTTCGTGATCAGTGGGCCAAGTGGGAGTTTATTTCACTTCTACTCGATCGTCACGGTGACCGCGTTCGGCGTTACGATTGGCCCGCAGTGAAATCTCCACCAATCGCAACGCTAAACGCGCTCGCCGTTGAGAGCGAGTAGATGTTAAATCAACTTGCTCTCTGGTAACTGCTTAAGAACTTCTTCTTTGACATGACATTCAGGGTTCGTATAGACGAGCGGCGCATTGTTAACGGCAGTGGTAAACGCGCTCGTCGACAGCCGTCGGCGGATATCGGCGGCGGCGGCGTCAGCCGACGTCTACCGATAGCCGATGACGCTTGACCAAGATCTTCGACACTGACGTGTCAATGACTGTGTTACTTCTTACGTTAACAACGTGCAGCTTGTCTATACGTAGATTAATTTTTATATTTTGGTAATATGCAAAACTACGACGATACATTTTGACGCGGTCATCCACGCAAAGTCAAATCTCACTATCAAAGCTTAACATTTTTAATTAAAAAAAGTAAGGGGTTTAAGGTTTTAGTTGATCAGACATTGCAATACCTATTAAGGCTATTAATATAATAAATTACCCTTTCTCGACATCTTTCTTTTGGCCTACTTCTGCCGGCTCGCGTGAAAAATTGATGCTCTTTGCCACCATATCTCGCGCGTGGCAAAACTGCTCCCAATGAGTACCTGTAACATAGTATAATTTAAAATAAAGGATTTAATTGACTAGTGCCCGTAATGTTTGCTTAATATGAGCAAGGTGGGCTGACATCAATATGAGTATGGACAAATATAAAACTAAAACATAATGTAG